AATGTCAAATTGCTTCATTTGGTTACTTTTACAATTTTATACTTTATAATTTAATATTTTAATGAAAATCAGCATAGATCTGGAGGCGTGCTGCCTTTAAATACCCATTGCAGACCTATCCACTTTTAATGTGTGTCACAACCGTATTGGTTGGTAACTTGTATTTAGTCAAACGGAGTGAAAATGTGACGTTGCACATCCTACATAGAGCTGCTGCCACAAAACTCTTATTCGTTTTCGGAGATATGATTTCAGAAATATTGTACATGTAATCCATACATAATACATGACAAAAAGGGGTTATATACGATAGTATAAAGGTGAAATTTGCAGCAGTTTTTAATTTGTGGCCACAGCTTAATAGCTTCAGGCCCCTCAATTTTTCTATGTCATCTTCTTCATAACGCCTCTTTAAATTTTTGACAGTGTTAATGATATTTAAATGATCACTAAAAGCAAACCTTAATGTTTTCAAGAAAAAAACCTATTTACGACAAACTCATAATGAAAATGTTTAGACATTGATGGCCAGTATATGCATTTTATTTCGTGCAAATGCACTTTATTTTTGTATAAAATGTATTCGTTTTTACGTTAAGTGATTTTATTTTGAGTGTAAAAAAAATCTGAACATGTAAAAAATCTAACTGTCGACACTTGTATATTTATCTTGTTGTGTCGCCATAAATCATACACATTTACAAAAATGTATAAATGCTATTTATAACAGATGTTTACTATTTTATGATATCATCAGTTGATATAAATTTACAAAAAACTTTTCCCTTGTTGTTTTTGAAAAGGAGTAATCTTTATTAAAGACATTCGCTAAAGCTTATCATACGAACATCATAGATGCGTATGAAAAGTGTTACCGTAAAAAAAATCAAATTCAAGGGCAGGTAACTCAAAAATGGTTGGTCTGGGAGCATTATCCTAGTCATTTGCATGTCAAAATAAGAGCCCTAGGCATGTAAGAGTACTTCTCATCATGTCTATAGGACAAACACTCCACTTAATTTATGAACAAGGGATCAAGTAAAACCACATCTGTTCTAGCGTGAAGTAACTTCATAGTGTTTTAGAAAATTGGGTGATTTTCTAGCCATTGTTGAAAACTTTCACAATTTGTGAGGCTAGGTTGAATAGTTTTTATATATCATACTTAATGTTATATGACGTTCCACTATAGACAATTAGGAATGAGACTTAGTAGAAAATGAATCAACGCCAAATCATTATCATAATAATATATACATACAAGAACATTTCATCATGTTTAATTGCTCTTTGTATATAATTTATAATCTTTAACATATAACAACAATTATTTCGAAGGACAGAAAGGTTGAAAAGCGGCTGACCTTCAATATAAAATATAGAAAAATATTTGGTTCAATCAAACTCCTCCTACTTTATAATGGCTTAAAATATATGTAAACTTTTTATTTCTTCAATAAATATGGAATATAAATTATAAGATTTATTGTTAATATGACAGAAATGCGTGGTGTTAATAATGATTAATATAAATCAAATTTATATTTATAGAATAAGATTGATATACTAACAACGCAGTATGTGTTCTTTCTCGTCAAAGTTTACCGGATGTCGGAAGTTAGACGGTGATTGGCGGCTTCATCAAAAAAAGTTTACTAACACTGTTAAAGTTTTATTTTTTTAAACACTTCCTAGGATAAAGTTATATAAGAGGCTGTAAAACAAATTGATGTTTTTAAATTTTTATTTTTAGAAAATAAAACACAGTACTTCTGACTTCATAGTATTAGAGATATCCCCCACTCAGGCTTAAACATCGAAAGGACTTCAGCAGCCGGCTTCGGTCAATTTAACGTTTAATGGCTTACGGATCAAGTTTGATTTCACTTCGATACAATTTTCAAAAATTCTAAGGAACGTACCATTTAGATTCTGGTGCTATGTATAATTTGATCTTGGTACAAACATACCAACTTGTACTGTACCGTTTGATATGTTTGACAACTCATCACAAAATGAATGTACATAGGACCGGAATATTCTTTCAATATTAACCAATGTGATCCTGTAATTTCAAAATGCATGAACTAATTTTACACTAGATTTGTGGTTTTTCAGTATCAGATATATTGACAAAGTGGTATACAAATAAAATTCAACATCGTTATAAAAAAAAATAAAAGAATTGAATAATCTTTTGTTTTTTGTTTTTTTTTTCTTTTTGCCTTTTTAATGTCATTGATTTCCATGATTCTATGGTTTTTTTCCCACAGTTTTAAATCTTCGGAGGTCTGATAGAATACTTGACACTGTTAACGGTGTTCACAAGCAAGCATTCTGTCACTGACGATATTGTTTTACACGAAACATTTGATTCTCATTTTTATAATATGAGTTAAAGTTATGCAAGGATACACAACACTTCTTCTTGTTGTCTACATGTCATTTTATAACCTTTATCTACCAAAACAATATTCTGTTGAAATTCATATTTTACTAAAGTATGTTTTCCAAAAAGCATAGAAAATCATTTATAGTTTTTGTTATTCTTTTATTTATAATGGACATCATACTGGTATACAATTCCAGCAGGCATTTTACTGCAATTCCAATTGGAAACAGACATGGGATAGATAAATAAATAAATTAATTCATTAACGAATGACAACAATGTCATGCATCTGTCTGGATATTTAATAGTATACTTGAAGAAAAACTTATCATGACAAGGAGGGATAGTTTACTGAGCTTCCACGTCACAAACTGTTTCCTCACACAACACAAACTTCGTACACAAAATATAAACGCTTCTGTGACAATGCATCATCTGTTTGTGGCCATTAATCAGAAGTTAAAAGTGTCATTTAAAATACATTCTTGTCACTCTTACCTTTAATTAAATCCGAGTTTCTGGGCATCTAATCATTATTAATGCACAATAAATATGTATTTCCTTAAAGCGTATTCATGTGTGTCCAAAACCACTGTTATATCATATCATGCAGTGAAAATCGTCGCACTATTTCGTTTTTCGCGGAGATGCAGAAGGAATAAGTTGTATGAATGGGTGATAAAATGCGAGGAGTCTTGTTATTCTTGGTGATAGTGGCAGGTAGGATTTCAGATTACTCTTGTTTAAACACGGTCACCACAACGGCCAACATAACAACCCCTTTAAATAAAAAAAGACCAATGGGTTTTCTTTGTGAAAAATATATACTAGAAACGTTTAGTTTTTATCAATTCATTTGTCTTGTAAATAATATTGTTCATTTTTACGAGCAACGAAAATTAAACATACATTATCTGAAATAATTTATACTATCCTTCTAAACTTATCTATCTTTTTCTTTGCACCATTTATAGAGGAAGACATCAAAAAGCAGTTTTAAAAAGCTATTTAAAACTAAATTTAAATATTTTGAAAAAGGATGATATTACTAAATTAGTTATAGTATAATAATAGATACAAACGAAATGAGAGAAATAGTTTAAAGATGAAAAATAAATATAACTTTATGAGCACAAATTATATAAGCCTATAATCTGCAAGCGTAATATCAGAGACCAGAAGACATTTTCACAAAAATCTTACGACAATTGACAATTTTTTTATCTTAAGAGATTTTGTTTTTGTTTAAGTATATTTGCAGAAAGGTTTGAAAAAAAAGTTCCCTTTATAAGAACGGGAAAACAAACGAACTTAAATGCTGTTATGCAAACATATTATACTTGTTAAATGTTCTAAAACTTTACAAACCATTTGAAGCATAATAACCTAACAACTCGCTTTTTTTACTGTTTTTTATTAACACAAAGACAACGATGAATAAGGTTTACGAACGATATTAGACAAGCAAACAAAAAAACTATAAATGATAAATTCTTTACACTAAAAAGATGCAAAATTGTACATGTAATAAATTATTTATAAATCATTTATAGAGAAGTGTTTAAGCTTGATAAATATCTCATGTTATGCAATAGCAATATTTTATGCCAATCTACCAGTCAATTTAAGACTGCGATAATCAAGCCACCAGGTAACGATAATATTGAATGATAAAATTTGACCCGTACAATTTAAATCTTACATTATCGTAGAAAATATATTTGTCATTCAGGCTTTATTATCATTTCATATATTGAATACTTAAAAATTACAGTTTTATGCCTTCTTCTTTTACTTCCTGCAAGATTGAAAAAAAAAACATTATTCATACACAATTATAAGAGTTATATTTATAGATAAAACTTGTCAGGCACTTTGGTCTGTTAGTTTTCCATTTTCCATGTAATGCAACAAATTGAATGTTTTATGGTTTATTTTCTAATATATTAATTAAACATGCTTTTAGTAATAGTGTTCCTTTATTCTATGCATCTCCAACAATGTCTGTCAATGGTTGGAATTTACTTTTAATTATTGTAAGACAAGATATTCATAAAAAATATAATATTTTTGTACAAGGCAAATGGAAAACTAATGGACCAAAGTGCCTTACAAGTTTATCCGTTTAGGATTAGCAATGATTGTACAAATGGAAAAGGTTTTCACGTGCATTGGCATTGTCAATAGTGTTATTGGATAAAGCATTTAATGAAATTTCACAACACTGAATTTCAACACCAATTAACTTTGTGACAAAGCAGCATTTGCTTGAGAACTATGTCAATATTTTTATGACTTAATGCCATACTTTTGTATAACATTGACAATGAGAAGTTTGTGTAATGAACTTTTCATGCTATGAATTCAGAACTGTCCGCTGTTAGAATGTGAGGAAATCTGATATCGAGATGGAAGATTAGATAAGCCAACAATATGACATTTTTCAGAGTATTCATACGCTCTGGGTGACCTATACGCTGTCATAATATAATATTCAAGTCATTTTTACCGCTAATATTAAAACGGTTTGACCGTTTCTGTTTTCTGTGTTTGGTATGAATTCATTTAGTTATTATTTCGAAATATTTAAAACATGAAATATTGGAAATATGAACATTAGCTTGTATGTTACATGTAAATATGTCCCTTCCACCCGTCTTAATAGTATTTTCAATTATAAAAAGTACAAATTTAATTAGAAGACATTCAACCAAAAACCCTTCTCATGAATTGACAATAGTTCGTTTATAGAAACTAGAAATACGCACTAAACGTCACAATTATCCCAATGAGAAGCTGCGTTACATCATAAAACGCAAATGACGCCATAATGCACGTTTAAACGCTAGTGTGCACAATACTTTGCAATAAATATTCATATTTGAAAAAGACAGCTTGCGAGTTTTGTAAAAAGTCTCCCCGTACATTTAATCAATGATGTTATATTTTCGATCCTTTAAGATCGTTCAGCACGACATTATTGTTGTGTATACATGATTGTCATGTTATGTGGTACTTTTAGTTTCTTCTATTCGGCCATTTTCAACTTGGGTGGTTCCAGTATTCCTACTTGAATACTGTATATTCACCCTTAGGATATGTTGCCTGCTTTTTAAATTTGTCTTTTGACGTCTTATCTGTGATATGCAGGCTTCATAACCTCAGACCCCCTTTCAAAATTCCATTTTATCTAGTTCCGCCCATTGTTTTCTCGTTTAGGGCAAAAGCATTCTTTTACTTGGGGACCATACGCCGCCTTTCATGGAATGGCACTTCTGTGTCACATTGAAGGTTCCATGATAACCGTCGTATGAACACATCTGCGGATGTTTCTAAATTCAAAATTTCGCCATTTTCGTGTTAAATGTTGAATTCTGCTTAAGCCGGTGCTAGGGGGCGTGGACGGTAACTTGCACTTTACAGTACCGTCTATGAACAGGCTCAATCAAACCGAGCCTGCAACATTTTCAATTTTGTTGTGTTGGACTTTCTTTAGGGATTCTGTTTTTCTCTATTTTAATCGGTGTGCGGGTAATTTATTCGTCCATGAAGCATACAATCAACAGCTTTGGTTAATATTGGAAGATATCAGGTTTAAAGCTGTCATTAACTTGAATATATTACCAATTACATAAAGTGCAAATATTCTCTTTTGTGACCTGGCACTTTTTTCCAAGACCTCATACATATAAAATAAACTTTGTAATAAAAGGTTTGTTTGATCGCACAGCCTTAAAACCTTTGCCCAAGACCCCATACGAGTAAAACGAAGTTTGTAATTACTTTGTTTGATGGAACAATGATTTATGATCGGTAATTAGATGAGATGTGGTAATGCCTCTTATTGTATTCTTGTAATAATCTGCATAAGCACACAATTACAAAGCATTTTAAATGACATATATTCAGATAAGCACAGTTGCATGTTGTCAAAGCTTAATTGTAACACGTCTTTCCATCCATGTTATGTTTCAAAAATTAAAAGTTACAAAAATTTAAATGTGACTATTTTTTTTTCTTTTAAAACACGTCTGCGGATGATTCTAAATTAAAACGTTTACCATTTAATGTAAGTTTTGCTTAAGCCGGTGCTACGGGCGTGGACGGTAGATTGCAGTTACCACTATCGTCCATGAACAGACTCAAATGAAACAAGTCTGCAACATTTCTCAATTTTGCCGTTTTTTGGCGTTCTTTTGGAATTCCTTTTTAAATCCCTAAATTTTATAATGGATAGATGTACAAAAAAATAAAGCAAATTTCATTATTTCATGAGAGAAAATTATACGGTATTACCTCTTCCGAATTATTTTTTCTTGAATTAATCAGGACCGACAAATGCTTGAAAGCAATTTTCATAATTTGCATTCAGATTATGACATATACAAGTTACAAATGCTTTATGCAATGCATCATTGTCTCCTTACTTATCTTATGTCACTTATGATAAAAAAAAGATTTGGTCTCAGCGTTATGGTGACCGTGACTTTCATCTATATATAGCAGTTGTTTATTTTATCTCAATGAGTTATGGTGTTTTGTTTCAATTTTTATGTTTAGCTGGCATTTGATTAAACGGCGCATTAATTATACGGTATATAAAAAATTGTTGCAACATGAAGTTTCATGACAAAAAATGTAGGTCATTGTAACAAATCAAAATTCAAATACATTAAAGCCTTTTGTCTAATTGTCACCAATGTCTTAAAATGTTTTGTTGGCAAATTTGTTAACAATCACAATTGTATAGTTTATAATTATTTTTGTAACTGCACAGCATTTTTGTATTATACTGTATAATTGTGACGCCATTTTCATTAGACAACCGTGACGTTTACATTATCATTTATTTATTTATTTATTTATTTATTTATTAACAAACATTCAACATCTTATTTTCTTGAATTTGTGTTCAGGTTACTCTTAAAGTTTTGTCTTAACGAATTCAAAAGTCAACACCTTAAACATGCCACAAGAAACACATGTTGTTTTAAACAATATTTGACAAGTCATATGCTTACGTAGTTTCTACAATATAGAAATTTACAAAAAAATGTATTTATGCCTTATATTATATTCATGTTCAAGTCCCTATTTCGTGAATTAAGACAATGTTTTCTGGCATTAAACTCGTTCATGGACAGATTATTAATTATGATGACAGACATTTCTGCAGTGTGGCGTAGCATAATGTGCACCTGATAATGTATAGATACACGTGCATAATTTCAGTATCTTAAATCTAAATTATGACATTTAGACAATATAAAAATAGTCAAGAAAATAAGGCACAATGTTGTAAATTAAGAAAATTAAGAAATAAAAATTGGCAAAAATAGACTATGTGAAAGATACGCGATTTAGATTGGAAAAAATAACAATTTAATGCACTACTAACACGGAAAGGTGCGGGGAGAATTTTAATCTTTTTCATGTTATGTTCGGACAGTAACACGCTCAGTTGCTTCGCGAATCACGTGAAGTCGTTAGATATGTCGAGCTTATGTACTGTCAAGTGCATACTGATTGTACAAACAATGCACACATCATGTTTGGATAGAGTTTCAGCAGTTTCCTTGAGATTTACGTACACAAAGTGACACTGTGTGTCAGAAATTGAATAGGAGTATCATGGGACAGCTGTCTTAAGGTGTAGGCTTATATTTAAATCCCTTTACTTTCCTTACACATATTTGAACCGCGTCACGACAAAACCAACATAATATATTTGCGACCAGCATGGATCCAGACCAGCCTTCGCAACAGCGCAATGTGATCCGGATCCATGTTGTTCGCTTACAAACCCTATTACAAGTAGAGATACTGATAGCGAACAGCATGGATCCTGATCAGACTGCGCGGATGCGCAGCCTGGTCTGGATCCATGCTGGTCGCAAACCCATTACTTTGGTTTTGTCGTGACGCGGCTCATTTTTAAACATTACATACAGGGATTTTTTTAGCCATACAGACATTCTGTAAACTGTTCATTTTATCTTAGATATTATTATACTTTTGTAACAGATCCTTTAGATTGTATGGCGTGTAATGCACATATGCGATGTAAGCATGATCCATTGTTAACGCAAGCTGATACCTCAAACTTTTCAGATCCATTAAGCCCCATAAACGGTTTTATTTTTATTTCTCAAAAGCTTTTTATTGTTAATGTCATGTTATAGTATTGACCAATTTCCTGAGCCATCTTTTGCAACTGTTGCTTTTTGGCAACTAATGCAATAATAGTGACTAAATATTTTGTATTGCAGCCAAAATACCACTTTGATTACATTTTGTGATTACATTTTGATACTTTGATTAAAAAAATTCACAATCGGCGATATTTATCAGGTAATAAGCATTCAATATGCTCTTAACGTTATAAAACTCATAAGTGCCCTTTCTAATGAAGGAAAAAAAATATTCGTTTTGATTCATAAGGCATGTGATTTGAATATATGTATTACAAGATGGATACTTCTGATATTTCAGCGTCTAAATGTATGTATAACTGATGGGTGACTAAAAAATACGTGTACATTCTGTGAAAATGCCTGTCATCAATTTAAAAAAGTGTTGTTTTTTTGTTTGTTTGTTTTTTGTTGTTGTTTTTGTTGTTGTTTTTTTCGGAAGAAAATATTATATTTGCTACAAGATATTATATCTCGAATATTTGTGCAAATTGATGGCAGATATATAGTTTATTTTACCGGTACTTTTAAAGCTGCTTGTTTTTTTTCCTTCAAATTTTGAGCTCTTTTTGGTAATTAATGTTGATGTGTCGCCGTTTGCAATTCTTTGTTCATTTCACAATATATTACTTCAAAGTTGTCATTGAAATTAGCATGATTTTGTTGGCATGTTGCTTTAAATGAATTTATTCATTTAGGGACAATAACGATATCATGCACACAATTATCAAATAAAAATTCAACTTAAGTAAACCTTTAATTCAGTGTGTCCATTTTTATATTTTCAGTTTCATCTGTCAGATCACTGCATCCGCAACCGAAAGGCGAAACATCTAAAGTAAAAGACAATGCAAGCGCTAATAACAAAAATAGTTATGGATTTACCAAAACAAAAAAAGGTAAAAGGCCGAGCAGAATTGGAAATATCGACGTTAATTGGATAAGAACAGTTGGTGCTGATATCGGTCTACGTGGTCTAGCTCAAGCTAAAGCCACAAACGGTGGAACAGATGCACCAAACTACGCTAACTACGCGCCACCAGTAGATGGTTTGAAGAGCTACAACACTAATAATCAATATAAATCCAAAGATATTGACATCACTCAAAAGTACAGTAACAATAAATTAAATATAAGTAGAGAAATGTTAGGGAAATATTTAAGGGCATACGGAAATGGAGGCCAACAAACCGATAACTCAAATTCAAATGCACAACAATCAAACATGTCCTGGAAGTTTAAACAGACAAAGAATTACGACGGGAATGTTCAAATGGACGGAAACTCGGGAAAGCCAAAAATAAAGATCACTAAACAGAAATATTCAAACCAATTCAAAATAAACAAGGCTTATGATCCTTGGAAACCAGACTTTGGCACAAATGATTTCGGAAATAAAGAGAGTCAAGTTCAACAGGTAACCACTTATACCTCTGACTCCAACAAGTACAAAACAAAAGGATTTGCAAAACCTAGTAAGCCAGTGTCTTTAAATTACAAAACAGTGCAAACCCAATTGAAGCCTGATTTTGGTAAACCTGGTAAGCAAAAACTTCAAAGTCAACAAACATCGTATAAATCAGCTGAAAACCTTGAAAAATATACGTTATCAAAATCTAGTAAAAAATCTGTTACAAGTGAATCTATACATAATTCAAATGGGAAACAAGTAGAATACAAATCTTCGGAAATCAAATTCGGTAAACCTCAGGTACAAAAATCATACAAAACAAAGATGATACCGGAGGTTAGTTATAGAAACGCACAACCATCGACTCATAAAAAGATGCCCCACAACTCGCCTGTGACATTATTATCTTCAAACAACAAGAACAAGTTTGAAGACTTTGAAAAGGTTAATACGAAAACAGTACTTGAAACTTTAAGAAAAGAATATTATAAACAGCTAGGAAACATGAATGTGAAAATGTATTCCGTTGGAAAGCAATCGACTCTATATGATTCTGCTAAGAATGGTATGAATCAACACAAGATAAAGTATATAAATAATATAAATCCTGCTTATTCGAAACTGGACATGTCTGAAGTGCAAGGATCCTATGATAAAAAGTCAAATAATCTTGAACAAAATGTTAGAAGTTCGGTGACAATGGTGCAAAAGTCCGAAAAATTGAAACATTTGACATCTTACACAGGTAAATCTGACTCGGGATCTTCCTCAAATATGATGCCGGACTTTGGTAAGCCAGAGAAGTCAACAATCAACGTCAATAATGATAAAATCTACAAATCTGGAAAATCTACATTCCCGAAATCAGACTTTGGGAAGCCAGAAAGTGTTGTTACCTACATTAAAAATAATGATAAATCAGGAAAACCTTCATATTCAAAACCAGACTTTGGGAAGCCTGATAATTCTGGAAAATCTACATACCCGAAACCAGATTTTGGGAAGCCTGATAAATCTGTAAAATCTACATATCCAAAACCAGACTTCGGGAAGCCTGATAATTCTGTAAAATCTACATACCCGAAACCAGACTTTGGGAAACCTGGTAAATCCGGAAAATCTACATATCCAAAACCAGACTTTGGAAAGCCTGACACATCTGGAAAATCTACATACCAAAAACCAGACTTTGGGAAGCCAGATAATTCTGGAAAATCTACATACCCAAAACCAGACTTTGGGAAACCTGATAGATCTGGAAAATCTACATACCCAAAACCAGACTTTGGGAAGCCTGATAATTCTGGAAAATCTACATACCCGACACCAGACTTTGGGAAGCCTGGTAATTCTGGGAAATCAACATATCCGAAGATAGACCTTGTTAAGCAAGAAAGTGTTGTTACCTACATTAAAAATGATGATAAGGTAGGAAAATCTACATACACAAAACTAGACGTTGGGAAGCTTGATAATTCTGGAAAATCTACTTATCTGAAACCAGACTCTGGGATGCCTGGTAAGTCTGGAAAATCCACATACCCCAAACCAGACTTTGGAAAGCCTGGTAAATCTGGAAAATCCACATATCTGAAACCAAACTTTGGGAAGCCAGATAATTCTGGAAAATCTACATACCCAAAACCAGACTTTGGGAAACCTGATAAATCTGGAAAATCTACATATCCAAAACCAGACTTTGGAAAGCCTGATAATACTGGAAAATCTACATACCCGAAACCTGACTTCGGGAAGCCTGGTTATTCTGGGAAATCAACATATCCGAAGATAGACTTTGTAAAGCAAGAAAGTGTTGTCACCTACATTACAAATAATGATAAAGTAGGAAAATCTACATACACAAAACTAGACGTTGGGAAGCCAGATAATTCTGGAAAATCTACATACCCAAAACAAGACTTTGGGAAGCCTGATAAATCTGGAAAATCTACATATCCGAAACCAGACTTTGGGAAACCTGATAAATCTGGAAAATCTACTAATCTGAAACCAGACTTTGGGATGCCTGGTAATTCTGGGAAATCTACATACCCGAAACCGGACTTTGAGAAGCCAGATAGTCCTGGAAAATCAACATATTTGAAACCAGACTTTGGGAAGCCAGATAATTCTGGTAAATCTACATATCCAAAACCAGACTTTGGGAAACCTTATAAATCTGGAAAATCTACTTATCCGAAACAAAACTTTGGGAAGCCTGATAATTCTGGGAAATCAACATATCTGAAACCAGACTTTAGAAAGCAAGAAAGTGTTGTTACCTACATTAAAAATAATGAAAACATAGGAAAGTCTACATACACAAAACTAGACTTTGGGAAGATTGATAAATCTACTTATCTGAAACCAGACATTGGGATGCCTGGTTACTCTGAAAAGGCTACATACCCAAAACCAGACTTTGGAAAGCCAGGTAGTTCTGAAAAATCTGCATATCCCAAACCAGACTTTGGAAAACCTGACAAATCTGGTCAATCTGCATATCCAAAACCAGAGTTTGAGATGCCTGGCAAATTGGGAAAATCTACTTATCCGAAACCAGAATTTGGGATGCCTGATAATTCTGGAAAATCTACATATCCAAAACCAGACTTTAGGAAGCCCGATAATTCTGGAAAATCTACATACCCGAAACCAGACTTTGGGAAGCCTGATAAATCCGGAAAATCTACATATCCAAAACCAGACTTTGGAAAGCCTGACAAATCTGGGAAATCTACATACCAAAAACCAGACTTTGGGAAGCCTGATAATTCTGGAAAATCTACATACCCAAAACCAGACTTTGGGAAGCCTGATAATTCTGGAAAATCTACATACCCGAAACCAGACTTTGGGAAGCCTGATAATTCTGGGAAATCAACATATCCGAAGATAGACTTTGCAAAGCAAGAAAGTGTTGTTACCTACATTAAAAATAATGATAAAGTAGGAAAATCTACATACACAAAACTAGACTTTGGGAAGCTTGACAATTCTGGAAAATCTACATATCCAAAACCAGACTTTGGAAAGCCTGACAAATCTGGAAAATCTACATACCAGAAACCAGACTTTGGGAAGCCTGATAATTCTGGAAAATCTACATACCAAAAACCAGACTTTGGGGGGCCTGATAAATCTGGAAAATCTACATACCAGAAGCAAAACTTTGGGAAAACAGAAAGTGTGGTTACCTACGTTAATAAAAATCAAGCCGAAAAATCTACATATCCCAAACCAGATTTCGGCAAGCCTGATAAATCTGGAAAATCTACATACTCGAAACCTGACTTCGGGAAGCCAACAAGTGTAGCTTCTTATAACGGAAATAATGATAAACCAGGAAAATTATCATACCCGAAACCAGACTTTGGGAAGCCAGATAGTATTGTTTCCTACGTGAATAAAGATAAATCTGGAAAATCCATATACCCGAAACCAAACTTTGGAAAGCCTGGTAAACCTGAAAAATCTACATACCCGAAACCAGACTTTGGGAAGCCTGGTAAACCTGAAAAATCTACATATCCAAAACCAGATTTCGGGAAGCCAGAAAGTGTAGTTTCCTACGTAAATAAAGATAAATCTGGAAAATCCACATACCCGAAACCAGATTTTGGAAAGCCTGGTAAATCTGGACAAAACACATACCCGAAACCAAACTTTGGGAAGCCTGGTAAACCTGAAAAATCTACATACCCGAAACCAGACAGCTCAGTTACATACAATGGAAATAATAATAAACCAGGGAAATCAACATACTCGAAACCAGATTTCGGGAAGCCTGATAAACCTAAACAATCTACTTACTTGATACCAGACTTTGGGAAACCAGAAAGTGTAGTTTCCTACCAGGTAAATAATGATAAAAGCGTTGAAGCTAAAGGAAAGGTAATGAAAACAGTTTCCTTCACAGCAGCTAATAATAAACTTAAATCTGAAAAGTTTGAAAAACCTACAAATTCAAAAATAAGTTATGTAAAGCCTGAAAGTCCAGTTATCTACAAACCAGTTGATGGACAACAAAAGAAAGAAATTCAAGGGAATGCAAACTATGACAAACCAAGTCAAAAGGTAGGAAGTATTAAGTACATTAAACCGGACTTTCAAAAGCCGAGGGAGGCAAATTCCAACATGTATTCGGAAAATATCCCAGACAAACCAAACTTTGGTAAACCAGAAAAGTCAAAGGGCGCAGATTCTTACAGACCAACTAATGAAAATCAAAATCTGAACTTCGGAAAGCCTGGTAAAGCAAAACCATACAATGTACTTAATAATAAACCTTCTGTTGGCAAACCTTATAAGCCTACATTTAGAAATACAGAGACTAAAAGCATGAATGGAAACACATACAATCCATCAGAGGAAACGTATCTTACATCAGCATCTCAAAATATTGATATAAATGCAAAATCTGTTTTAGAAACCCTTAAAAGATTTTACATGCTTCAAAATAAAGGAACAACAGGATCAAATTCTGTCGCCGGCAAATTCGATTTTGGCAAGCCAGAAAAAGAAAATTCCTACAAACCAGTATCCAAAGGATCAACAAGCTATCAACCTGAGCAGAGCAAATCTAAAAAGATTATGATTGATAAATCAAAAGCTAACACTGACAAGGTCAAGCCTTATCAACCTAAATACGAACAAAAACAAAACAATTATCCATCAAAACCTTATTTCGGTAAACCGTCTAAACCAGATTCTATTAGCTCAAACACAGTTGTATCAAAACCAATCTCTAAGTCAAAAAAAGTTAAAACCATTTTTGAAGGAAAGGTTGTTTCTTCAGAAAACACAGTAGACTACAGTCAGTCACAACTTGATATCAGAGATATACTTTCAAAGAGTTCCCTTTTAAACAAATTATCTTCATCAAGTTCTAACAAATTTGATTTTGGAAATGCAAAGAGTGTGTTGGAGGCCTTGAACAACATGTATTTAACTCAAAACAATATGAACAATCAAAATCGTTTGGTAAAGGCGTCTAAATCTACCATGACACAATCACAGTCTTATCAGCCTACGTACGGACAGAATATGGATAATAGCAAAACGAAACCTAACTTTGGAAAGCCTTCAAAACCTCAAAACTATCAGCCTTCAAGCGGACAAAACAATGATAATAGTCAAGTAAAACCTAATTTTGGAACGCCTTCCAAACCTCAGACTTATAAACCTACAAGCGTAAATTACAAAGATACTAGTATTTCAAAACCTGACTTTGGAAAACCTTCAAAGCCTCAAATATATAAGCCTCAAAATGGGGACATGAGCAATAACAGTCCAGCGAAACCTGATTTTAGAAAACCTTCAAAACCCCAGCCCTACCAACCTCAAAATGGCAAAAACACCGACAACAGTCAAGTGAAACCTAACTTTGGAAAACCTTCAAAACCCCAGACGTATCAACCTCAAAACGGGCAAAACAATGATAACAGTCCAATGAAACCTGTTTTTGGAAAACCTTCAAAACCTGGGACTTATCAACCTCAAACTGGGCAAAACAATAATAACAGTCCAATGAAACCTAGTTTTGGAAAACCCTCAAAACCCCAGACTTACAAACCTCAAACTGGGCAAAACAATAATAACAGTCCAATGAAACCTGTTTTTGGAAAACCTTCAAAACCCAATGCTTACAAACCTCAAACTGGGCAAAACAATAATAATGGTCCAATGAAACCTGATTTTGGAAAACCGTCAAAACCCACGGCTCACCAACCACAAAACGGACAAAACAATGATAACAGTATAGTAAAACCAGACTTTGGAAAACCTTCAAAACCCCAGCCCTACCAACCTCAAAAAGGTCAAAACACAGACAACAGTCAATTGAAGCCTAACTTTGGAAAACCATCGAAACCCCAGACTTATCAACCTCAAACAGTACAAAACAATGATAACAGTCCAATGAAACCTGGTTTTGGAAAACCTTCAAAACCCAATACTTACCAACCTAAATCTGGGCAAAACAATGATAAAAGTCCGATGAAACCTGATTTTGGAAAACCTTCAAAACCCGGTACTTATCAACCTCAAACTGGACAAAACAATAATAACAGTCCAATGAAACCTGTTTTTGGAAAACCTTCAAAATCCCAGTCCTACCAACCTCAAACTGGGCAAAACAATAATAACAGTCCAATGAAACCTGGTTTTGGAAAACCTTCAAAACCCAATACTTACCAACCTAAATCTGGGCAAAACAATGATAAAAGTCCGATGAAACCTGATTTTGGAAAACCTTCAAAACCCGGTACTTATCAACCTCAAACTGGACAAAACAATAATAACAGTCCAATGAAACCTGTTTTTGGAAAACCTTCAAAATCCCAGTCCTACCAACCTCAAACTGGGCAAAACAATAATAACAGTCCAATGAAACCTGGTTTTGGAAAACCCTCAAAACCCAATACTTACCAACCTCAAACTGGGAAAAACAATAATAATGGTCCAACGAAACCTGATTTTGGAAAACCTTCAAAACCCGGTACTTATCAACCTCAAACTGGGCAAAACAATGATAACAGTCCAATGAAACCTGTTTTTGGAAAACCCTCAAAACCCAATGCTTACCAACCACAAAACGGGCAAAACAATGATAATGGTCCAATGAAACCTGATTTTGGAAAACCGTCAAAACCAACAGCTTACCAACCACAAAACGGACAAAACAAGGATAACAGTCAAGTAAAACCAGACTTTGGAAAACCTTCAAAACCCCAGCTCTACCAATCTCAAACTGGGCAAAGCAATGATAACAGTCCAATGCAACCTGTTTTTGGAAAACCCTCAAAACCCAATGCTTACCAACCACAAAACGGGCAAAACAATGATAATGGTCCAATGAAACCTGATTTTGGAAAACCGTCAAAACCAACAGCTTACCAACCACAAAACGGACAAAACAAGGATAACAGTCAAGTAAAACCAGACTTTGGAAAACCTTCAAAACCCCAGCTCTACCAACCTCAAAATGGCAAAAACACAGACAACAGTCAAATGAAACCTAACTTTGGAAAACCATTGAAACCCCAGACTTATCAACCTCAAACTGGGCAAAGCAATAATAATGATCCAATTAAACCTGATTTTGGAAAACCTTCAAAACCCAATGCTTACCAACCACAAACTGGGCAAAACAATAATAATGGTCCAATTAAACCTGATTTTGGAAAACCGTCAAAACCCAATGCTTACCAACCACAAAACAGACAAAACAATGATAACAGTCAAGTAAAACCAGACTTTGGAAAACCATCGAAGCCCCAGACGTACCAAGCTCAAAAAGGGCAAAACACGGATAACAGTCAAATAAAACCTAACTTTAGAAAACCTTCAAAACCCGAGACTTACCAACCTAAAATTGGACAAAACAAAGCTAACGGTCCAACTAAACCAGACTTTGGAAAGCCTTCAAAACCTCAGAATTATCATACCTCAGATATGAACAATGCATTAGAGAAAACCGGACAAACTCAATCTGAAGTGAAGTACGGTACGTCAAAGCAAAATAATGTCAAACAAAATTTTGCAAAAGATGTATTCTTTAAGAAATATTTATCATCGTCAACTCAAACTTTAAATTTGAAAAATGCTAAAAATATGTTGGAACAACTAAAAAAGATGTATTTGATTAACAGAATAAAATCAACCACTGGGTTTGGCAAGAACATCCAAAATTACCAAGGACAAAACAAAGATAACAGTCAAACAAAATATAGTGCTAAAACTATGCCAAATAAACATTTGCCAACATTCGGAAAACCAGACAAACCAGATGTTAACAACAACGGATATACTGTTAAAACTATGCCGGATAAACCTTTACCGAAATTCGGAAAACCAGACAAACCAGATTTTAACAACAATCGATATCCTGGTAAAACTATGCCAAATAAACCTTTACCGAAATTCGGAAAACCGGATAAGCCAGATGTTAACAACAACGGATATACTGGTAAAACTATGCCGGATAAACCTTTACCGAAATCCGGAAAACCAGACAAACCAGATGTTAACAACAACGGATACACTGGTAAAACTATGCCAAATAAACCTTTACCGAAATTCGGAAAGCCAGATAAACCGGATTTTAACAACAACGGATATCCTGGTAAAACTATGCCAAATAAACCATTACCTAAATTCGGAAAACCAGACAAACCAGATTTTAACAACAACGGATATGCTGCTAAAACTATGCCAAATAAACCATTACCGAAATTCGGAAAACCGGGTAAGCCAAATTTTAACAACAACGGTTATACTGGTAAAACAATGCCAAATAAACCTGTACCGAAATTTGGAAAACCAGACAAACCAGATATTAACAACAACGGATATCCTGGTAAAACTATGCCAAATAAACCATTACCGAAATTTGGAAAACCAGACAAACCAGATATAAACAACAACGGATATGCTGCTAAAACTATGCCAAATAAACCATTACCGAAATTCGGAAAACCGGGTAAGCCAAATTTTAACAACAACGGTTATACTGGTAAAACAATGCCAAATAAACCTTTACCGAAATTTGGAAAACCAGACAAACCAGATATTAACAACAACGGATATACTGGTAAAACTATGCCAAATAAGCCTTTACCGAAATTCGGAAAACCGGGTAAGCCAGATATTAACAACAACGGATATACTGGTAAAACAATGCCAAATAAACCTTTACCAAAATTCGGAAAACCGGATAAGCCAGATATTAACAACAACGGATATACTGGTAAAACAATGCCAAATAAACCTTTACCAAAATTCGGAAAACCGGATAAGCCAGATGTTAACAATAACGGATATGCTGCCAAAACAATGCCAAATAAACCTTTACCTAATTTTGGAAAACCAGACAAACCAGATTTTAACAACAACGGATATCCTGGTAAAACTATGCCAAATAAACCTTTACGGAAATTCGGAAAACCGGATAAGCCAGATGTTAACAATAACGGATATGTTGCTAAAACTATGCCAAATAAACCATTACCGACATTTGGAAAACCAGACAAACCAGATTTTAACAACAATGGATATCCTGGTAAAACTATGCCAAATAAACCTTTACCGAAATTTGGAAAACCGGATAAGCCAGATGTTAACAACAACAGATATACTGGTAAAACAATGCCAAATAAGCCTTTACCGAAATTCGGAAAACCAAATCAGCAAGAACTGACTAATAACGGTTATAAGGTAAAAACTATGCCAAGTAAACTACCGAAATTTGGAAACAAAAATAAGCCGGAAATGAACAACAACGTTTATGGACAAAACGCAACACCTATCAAATATATTTCAAGCTCCGGTAAATCGGGAAATCTTAAAATTCTTAACAAACAATTACTGAACATTGAGAAGTCAAACAATCAAAACTCTTATAGTGGATATAGTTCAATAAATAACAAACCAAACTTCGGAAAACCGGGAAAGCCAGAATTTAACAACAATGGTTACATTTCAAAAACAGCTTCAAATTCAAACAATCAAAATGACAAAGCTGTTTATCAACCTACGCCTATATCCGGTAAACCTGTATTCAAAAACAACAAATACGATTCATCAAGAGGGAACCAAATGCAGTCTAAAATCACTAGCCAAACTTCACGCTCTGGAAGTGTTAACTATGATATCAATTACAAATATCAAAGACAAAATGCAGGACAAACATCAGGAAAACAATATTCTACAGCAGAACTTAACTTGTATGATATAACAAGTACAAACCCAGAAAAAACGAGCTTCGTTTTAAAAACTATGAGAAAACTGTATTTAGAACAGCAAGGCAATCTTCTAAACAATAATCAAGCAACTGGACAAAATACATATCAATCACAAAACAATGTCAATACAGCACCGGTTAAACCGTATCAGCAAAACATACAACAATATGCAAAGCAAAACAATGTAAATGTCACATATAATTCACAACAGCAGAACCTCCCCTCAAACAACACACCCCAAAAAGCCTATCTACCGAACAAACCTGATGCACCAAACCAAAATAAACCAAACTACGAATCGCCTATTGTGATAACCAAATCGTCCAAACAAACTAATTATGGTACAAATTCTGCTGTTTCGAGTACATCAACTGAAAAAACTAGTGAAACTACATATAACACTGACATCGTAATCGAAGTAAGTAACGGAGCAAACGGCAATGGGGTTATATATGGCACAAATGCACAACCGGACAACGTACAAGGAGCATCTGCAAATAATAATCAAGGCACCGGAGCACACAACTGTACAGTTATTAAACCTTGCTGTGGAAATGACGATTTCACTTATTTGTCAGAGTGTTTCTTACCGGCGTAAGTATCAACCATCACATGATTGTCGTTGGCTGTGTAAACGTATACAATGTCTTTTTGCTCTGCTTAAACGATCACTAAAATGCCTTTCTAAAAAAGAAATATTTTCCAATACTAACGAACTTTGCTTTTTTTGTTGTAACAAATTCAACATAACGATAATTATTAATAATATTGTTTTTCATGGACCCGTGATAACATATGCTCTAGTTAGACATAGTTAGACTGTTCATGCATATTGCAGTTAACACAAATGTACAAATTATGATATTTTGTATTAAACACTTTAGTGATTAAGTGAATGGGCATGTCAAACCGCAGAGTTCTGAGGACTTGCAACAAATCGTTCTTCATTAAGGTCTTAACATAATGAGATGCATATTAGCTATGTGTAAAGAACGAAAAATGTGTTTAATTTTCAGATCTGTAAAGAAAAAGTGTGATGGTTTCTGTCCATGCCCAGCTTTGACTACATATACCGACACTGCAGGTTTAAAACCTATAGTTTCATCAAACAACGGTAATAACGGCGTTAGTGGGGTTGGGGCTAATAATCAGGCCAGCGTGACTTATGGAGCTGGGGGAGGAGATGCGGCTAACGGGAACGAAGGAACTAGTTACGGAGGAGGGGCTGATCAGGGGCAGGGAGGCTATAGTAAGACGGGATCTCTGAGACAATTTTGCGCCCAAAAATGTAGAGGTACCAGATTTAGCCCAGTGTGTACAGCGCAAGGTAGCACCTTTAACAATGAGTGTATTGCAAGATGCAGGTAAATACAAAGTATTACAAATGTGTATGTTTTATATTGTCAAACCAAAAGTAAAAAAAGTTTTCAAATATTACCATACATAAAATAAATAGTGATGTTGGTGTTTAATTTATAACAAACATTAAGCATAATTAAGCAATATATGGACGAATCATTGAGTTTTTGTAAGTATCAAATCACTATTTGATATATTTCTTTGATAATTTCTCGTAGGAAAAAAATTTAAATTGTAGCCTAACAATATGAAGTTTGGTAACATGTAGTTATTAAACAGACAAGTCCATAGACTAAAAAGCATTAAAGCTACATGCCTCCATATAAGCCAAAATATTTCAATAAAATCAAACTTGAGAAAAATGTACTTAGATTTCAGGAAAAGTAAATATCTTTCAGATTTAAGTAATTATTTACATATTTTGTGCAATTAATGACTGATTTTTCAGTATTTGTAACTATATTTCTACTGCGTTACTAACGCAGGAGTGGCTATTTTTGCAAATTTTAACTCTGTTTGGTAATTTACATGGGTTTAAAGTGCCATTGATAATGTGTGAATTGCTTCCTTTTAGTTTCTTGACGATATTATTCACTTCAACAAATTTTTCAATTTTTTTTATGAAAATAAGCGTTCTGCTTTAATTGTTAAATGTTTAACTATTAAATAGGGGCGAGGTACCAGCATGTAAAGGGGCGTGTCCATGTAATAATGATAACATAGACGCAGGATATAATGGGAATAGAAACGCTGACAGCGGCGGTCATAACCGGGATGACATAGATATGGTAAGTCTATGGTGAAAATCTTGTTCTAAAACTAATTTTACTACTCTATATAATGTTTTCAAATAACTACGTCATATTATATAATAATATTATTATGTAATAGTCAAAAAATATATTTTATTAACTATTTTGTCGTAAAACGTGACCTGGAAGTGATGCATGTCAGAGATGAATGCGCATGAATAACTTAAAGATCATGTAACTCAATTTTTTTATGGTTTTATATGCTTAAATGAAGATTTATCAATATTATATGTTCAAAAAAGCATTATTTGTAAAGATATTACTGTATTTACATTTCATGTAAATAAAGGGAAGTAATTAGAGATCTATTTCGATAAAGTCTAAGCCAAATTTTTCAATAAGTAGATAAGAGTCCATAGATTTTAATGATAAAACATTTTCAGTACATATTTAACATATTCTTGGATGTTTGGAAATAATTATATACATTCACTTAAGTGTTGTTACATCCTTCATTACAACATACAGAATCTTTAAGCTTTAGTCACCTTTAAAAGTAATCAAAAGCCAACTTAAATATGTTTTATTTAGTACTAAACTGTCTGTCCGGTATTGTCTAACATATTATATTGTATTTAATGTTTATAATAATATAGCATAACAGGTAGAGGAAAATACTCATATTATGCTAACAAACTTATATACATGTCATATACATATATGAATAACTAACTGTATAACTGAACAAATTGTACGTCAGGTGAATTTCTCAAAAACAAATTGAAACATTTTTTCAACCTTTGAAATAGTAAAAAGTGCGAATAGAATTTTTACTGTCTATGTAACTTGGAAAGTTATATAGACGCATTTATAAGACGAATTTCTAGTCAGTATACATATAAATGTTTATCGTAACTTTTTTTCTTCCTTGAAGAAATAATCACCAAGGTAAACAACTACCAGTATGTGTTTACCTTTTTCATTAAAAAATATCTTGGAAATATTTAGAACGTGACGACAGTCTATTGAGCAATATATTAGATTAAATGCGAGTATATTTTCTTTTTTATATACTTATAAATATTGATAAATATTGATGAAATAAAATGCCTATTTCATTTTCCGTATTTTCAGTGTAAACATTCATTTTTCACTGCAGTGAAACATTTTCCGTATTTTCACTGGTGTCTTGCCGGACTACTTTCTTCCACATTAGGCAATACACAAAATTTAAGGGGAAGTCTGCAATGAAGAAGAGAAAAATGTATACAATAAACAAACAAAGTTTTTTCTCTAGACACAAGATTTATTTTCATTTTGTGGTATGAAAATTATCATATTTTACTACTGGCTACCGCCACTCATGAAATAATTATTTTCATACCACTCGATAAAAAATAAATCCTTTATTTAAAGAAAATACTTAAAAATCCTCTATATATCTATATCAAACATTAGCAGAAACATATAAGTAAAAATACATGTATATAAAAATATACATGTCGATATATTTGTATGATTTACAGACCTCTATCCCTTTGAAATACAATACTCAGAAATTTTAAACTTTTATATTTATATTATGCATTTCAGCTAAGGAAGTTAAAGAAATTAAGGGAAATAAAGAAGTTAATACCGTGACGAAATGGGTACTTGAAACTAAGTTTTCTATAGATTGATTACATGTTTGTCTGAAAGACGCACAGAAATGATGTTTTTTGTAAAGGGGCACGCTTTCGTCACAACTTGTGTAATACGTCACATAGATACGGGTAACCAAACGATTACCAGCCAATGGTCAGTTACTTGGTCATCTTAACTCTTTACATCGTGTGATAGAGCTTTACGAACGAAGGACAAACTATAGACTATATTTAACTAAATTTTCGTCTTATAAATTTTAATGCTTTTGTTACTTCAGTGCAAATAGTATGCATAAAAAAGCCTGATATATCGTGTGTATAGTTTTTACATTTATAAACTTGAAAGCGTGCCCCTTTATTTGTTGCACAGTCTCGCGGTAAAGAAACAGAGACCATCCCTCACATTGTAAAAAGTAGGGGGAAAAACGCACTGCAAAATTAAGAATAATTATTCATTCTAAGGCCTTGAAATAATAAGAAAGAAATACCGATGTTTACTATTTTCTTTAGATTCCACTCTGAGTTTACAAATATTACAATATGAAATAAGTTCCAATATGATACCATATTTATATGATATCACATTTTTATATCATTTTAACCCAGTGTTGCAGTTTTAGAACCATACTTCATCAATAGCTTTTTAAGAACGATAACTTTGGTTTTATTGCGGTCAGTTATTACTGACTAAGGTTGCTTTTCATGCACGCTTTTGCACCGGAAACCACAAAACAGAAAGAAAGAACACTGAAAAACATGATGCCGCTTTTGCAAACATACATGCAGCTTTTTAAATATCGGAGACAATCCTTATCCGAAGACTGGCGGAAAGGGCCGAAAAGTTGCGATTGTCTCGGAGACGCTGTTGCTGTAAAAGAATAAAATAAAAGTTTTATATTTATACCACCGAAAAAAATGTTATTTTATTCTTTTGTTTTCAGCTTATGTTAAATTAAATGACTTGATCGACAATAAGGCACAAATAAGGCATAATTTTTGTTTTCCCTTTTATAACCTCTATATTGCATATAAATACACGTTATATTATATATCTTAAAATCAATGATGTTTTGATTTTCGTCATGAAAATATCTTGCATATGTGTTTAAACTACCTTTTAAATCATTTTTTTTTTTCATTTTGAAAATTAAAGAATAAGCAGACAAACTAAATAAAAAGAATTTATTATTACGTTAACGTTTGTACGATTTTTTTGTGTTGTTGTTAAATTAAGTGCGCGCCTGTCAGTGTAATGCCGGAACTTTAAAAAGACAGGCGTTCACAGTTTTGCTGACTTTCAACTTTCTATTTTTAAATTTTACACGTAAGCATGCGGTAGATTGCGTGCAGGTATTTGTCAAATAAAATTCATGATACATAATTATAACGCATAATAATATAATGTACAGTTGTTGTTGTCGTCGTTGACTTACAAAGGCTGTGAACTTCTACTTCATTGAAATATATGCATACATTGCGTAAATTTAAATATTTACGTTTGGGTCTTGTACATACCTTATTATGTTTTATCCTTTTTTTAAATAATAAATAAGACGAGTTTCTGCAAAATATATACAGATCTATGGTATTAATTGCTACTTTTCTTCATTACAAAGTCACCTTAGTATAAAATATCATCATCTCAAAAAGGACAATCTAAAAATATCAGAAACTATCAAGAGGATATGGAATTCCGGTGTCGCTGCAAAAATTACTGTAATAATTATTTTACTTTTATTGTTGTTTTTTTTTTTTTCAAATAGGAGAACACAGTAAAATGCATTGATTTTGACGGATCGAGTGACATAATGAAATTGTTAATTTTTTATTGGGACCACGTACTTTTCTTCCATGAATATATGTTAGTTTAGAAATGTATTCATTGCAATATTTTGTTGTGAATTTTAGCACATGCGTTAATTCCTCGGGTGCCTTTGCTTATGCCTCGGTCATAAATGATTGTATAGTACCCTCAGAGAAATTCTATAAGACTCGTCGTTGTTTCTTATGCATTTTCCTGTGTGGTTGAATGCATACATGTATGTATTAATATTGGGAATGACAATACATTTAACAGTTAGGACAGACTGACACTATACTTTCGTGTGCTTACATACTGAAACTCCGCTAAGATATTAACAATCGACTCGTTCAAATTCAAAGGACAGGTCCATTGTATAATTTTACTGAAGAAATTGTTAAATGAGCAAAGTAATGGAATGTGATTCTTTGTTTAAATACGTACCTAGTAAAAGTTTTAAATAACTATATTTAGCCGAAATTTATTTTTGGTTCCAGGGCGCAGTAACGTTTTAAGACAACTAACCTATTGTGCAGAAATGCTGTCATTTATTGTGACAACAAGTAAAATGCGCAGCTTTTACCTTGCTTGTTTGTTTTTACAGTTTAATGACAGCATCGAATTTTACTGCCCACTAATATGAATAATATTTCAATACTGTATTCATACGTTAGGCGGTACATGCCGACTTTGACGCATTCTAATGATTATTAACATTAAATATTTGACAGACGATCCAGCTTTGACATTTTCCTAACAGTGTGTTTAAATGACAAATTATGCTATAAAATAAATTTGAAAAGTGCTGTACAACGAAAAGTGTCTGTTTTGGCACACGTTTCCGCAATTTGAAACTAATATTAATATGCACTAAATAAAATTAATGTAAATCGTGATTCAGTTTTTAAAGTGTTATTTATGATGAAAAGGCTTTCAAAAAAGTGAAATAAAATAGACAAGTAAGTATTATCCCCGAAGTAACGTGATAAGTCTAGACTTGTCAAATGTTTATTACGTAGAGAATTACTTGCTGCAATGTTTTAGTGAAGATCATAAATAATCCCGCCGCGATATTTTGGTGATATTTAAAATTTTATGCCAAAATACTTTATTAATTTTAAAGTGTTTAAAGGCACATTATGCCTCCAAAATCCACATTATTTTAATTCTTTAGAAAAGTTCCTACATGTATTTGATAATGTTATGATAATGGATTAAGAGCATTTTAGATGTTTAACAACTGAAGAACTAGTGCTGAACATGCGGTAATGTGTTGTAAAGGTAACAAAATGTAAACAAAGTATTATTTTGGCTTCCTTGCAAACTACTAATTCACTATAATTGTACCAATTGCCATTGTACCAATTGCCAACAAAGCAAAATCCGCAAAATGTATTTTATGGATATTTTTGAAAACTGTAACAAGAAATTAAAGTTTTTGAGAATAAAAATGTTAGCACTTCTGAGGTATAATGGGCCTGACGTGTATGGTGAACTTTTATGTTTGACGCTTTAGTGTTATTTTTTCTGTTGATATCATTTAACTATAAGATTACTGTTAATTGTATCTATGCAATGTATTAACTAATAATTATTTCATCCGGCCTTAACAATTCACTTTAATATACATAAATGCCTGTTTTAAGTATATTTTGTTACATATCACTGCCTGTCATAATATTATGCTATGCTTGTCCTCATGGACTTTTTAGCCTAAGGAATTGATTAATAAACTTGTCTTATCATCATGAATAATTCAATATTAAGATATTTGAGTGTTTATAGATATTATGGATGTTATGTAAGTAAAATTGCAACATTCTAGCAATATCTAAAAGGTATATTCCAAATTATAACTGGTATTTTAAAGTGTATGCCACTAATATTTAAATGATATATTGCAGGATATTCCGCAGTCTTTTATGATGTTTTGTAAATACTTCTGCAAAAACTATAAATAACGACATTCTATTTCAGTGTTTACAGTAGTGATATTTTATAAACACACATCAATACTTTAATGAACATTATTTACAATGCCGCAATATTTTTGTGAAACACGTGTCACAATATTTCAGCCATATTCAAATTAAATAAATTGTAATTAATAATGATGACGCAACATTTTAGTGACATTTGTTGAAATAATGAATATTGTTTTTCTAAATACAAATGTACATGTATTGTCATAGTAACTAAATGACGTTTAAAAGTGCATGTATTTGTGCTGCAATATTTACGTATTTTTAAAGCTAAAAATACCCTCTTTTTCTCAGCAGCTCTACTTAAAGCATATATTCACGTTTTAAACAGTATGTATTGTCTGTGCCAAAAGTCAAAACATTGACACAAATCATTTCTTTTATACCAAATTTATAGCAGCTTCTGATTTAGCAGGGGGGGGGAAGGAACCCTTAAAACATATATGAAAATACATGTAATAAAATGAAGTACCTTTAATTAACAAAACAAGAATTTACTTAAAATGTTTCAAATTGTTTAAGAATAAATATAATGTGTGATGCTAAGCAATGAACAGTATCAAATAAATTTGTTCTTTTTTATTTTCTTTCAGAAATAAAACCATTTTCGACACAGTTGAAGGATACCAACATACAAAGAGGGACCCGGTATAATAGAAAATTATTTTGACACTTGTTCAGATTAATCAACTCTGAAAAAAAAAGTATCTCGATCATTTAAGACAACAATGTGTTTTAATGTTTAACCGAAAATATTCCGTATAGAAGACCTATTAAAAGTGAACGTTAACAATTTACTTAAAATACTCGGCGTCAACGTGAACACTCGTTTGTTTTTTCGTTTTGTATCACACTGTTATTGGTTGGTTTCATTAAAAACCAGGAATTCAACCGGTTGTGTTTGTGTTGTTTATTTCTATGTTAATAAATATATCTTGTTAATGAATAATTAACATTGAATAAAATTCTGTCTCATATTGCAAAGTATGTGTTCCTTTTCTTTTACATTCAAGAAATCAGAAGCGATTGTATAAGACAGTATTTTACTGAAGGGTGTGTGGGGGGAGGGGGATTTTACGTCACACCAGCACAACAGATCATATGGTGAATTTCCAGCTTTACTGGTGGAAGAAGACCCCAAGGTGCGCCTCTGTACATTATTCAAGGGACAATCTGGCACCGGAGTAGAACCACCGACATTCCGTAAGCTAGCTGGAGAGCTTTCTCACAAGAAGAATCCGACAACCCCTGTACGGCTCAAACCTGCAGCGACAAGAACCGTCAAGACAATTTCATAAGCGAAAAAATAAAAATACAATTATATCTGATATGACCAGGGTTCCTTAACAGATAATACACATTTTAAAAATGACCTTAAAATGAAAAGAACATTTAAATGCTTTAAACTCAAATTAAAAACCATTCTGACTATTGACTCAATTTAGTTCTCGAGTATATTTCTTTTTAACTTTTTCTCTTATCTTTTTCATAATTTCCGTTTTAAGTGGCCTAATTAATCTATGTCAGATTTTCAATATTACATTTTAAGGCTTTAGATCTCACTGGAGTTCCTTTAATATTTATAATGTCATCAACTTTTCCTGTCACACAGAAAAATCACCAAACTCTATCAATGTTTCATTGTTTATTTCAAATCTCACATGATCTATATTGAAATATTAGACAAAATGGAATTCAAATTCAAGCAACAGAACCTTTTTTAATCTCGCATTTTAAATACGAATTTTGAACACTTTCTCTTTTAAATAGAAATAATGAGAAAATGTAATTTTCTTAAGCCATGCGATTGGTCTGTCCGTTATATACAATACTTTAAAAAATAAATTTACAGTGAATCCATGGTCAGTGGACCTGACACTCAGCAGGTGGGCTTTTCTTTACATTAATAGTACAAGTATGGATTTTCCACAGTGTGCACTGCCAGAGTTAATTATCCTAGAATTTGTTTGGTTTTAAATAACAACAACACTGGTCTGGTCATGTGGTGAGACTCCAGCTTTAATGGCTAAGGAAGACCTTAGTAGCCCCTTTGTGTGTTATTTCAGGCACAAGCAGGTACCAGAGTAGTACCACCGACGTTCCCTAAGCAACCTGGATAGCTGCTTCACAGGAAAGTACCTGGTGGGAATTGAATCCACAGCAGTGAGGGGCAAGTGGTTCAGAGTAAACACCCTCAACCACTCTGCCATGGACTACACCATTTTTCTGGTTCCAATCCTTGATGTAAAATCTTTTAACAAAACTGTCCTTCAATTTCAACCTTTTTTCGAATTTCCTTTGAATATTTGTCCACACGAAAGTGCACTTGGAATCCAAACACGTGAAGGTTTGTGCAATTAATTTATAAATAATGTGTTCCCAATATCATAAATACATCACATTTTGAACAGAATATAGCTCCACAATCTTTTTTAACGCTTCCTCTGCCCTTGGATTTTCCTGAAATAAAAAAAGACTATTGAAAATAATACTTCCTTATATGGTGCATAGTAATTTGTTAGTAAATAAACTTATAGGCAAAGTAACCTCCAAGTGGTTATGGCCATTTACATTGAAACACTTGCCCCTAACTGCTATGGGATTAAAACCCCACAGAGACTCAAGGCTTTAATGTGAAGAAACTATCTAGCTAGCTTATGAAATATATGTACAGGTGCCCTTTCTTTCCAGAATTATTAGAAAGATGAGTACTGGAGGTTTTCCTCCCAACCATTTTGGTGCAGATAGTGTCTGAAACCATGTGGTAAAGGCTCTTGACTTCATATTACTTGCCTATACCAATGTGGGTTTGAATCCTGTCAGAGAGTTTGAATGATTTCATGTGAGGAAGCTATCCAGTGTGTATCTATAATGCACAGAAGAGCACCTGAGGTCTTCCTCCACCAGTAAACCTGGAAAGTTGCCATATGACCTTAACAAGGTCATTGTGACTTCCAATCTAATAACAATAATATAACCACAGACAGTTTCACTTATGCATGGACAAGTAGAACTGCCCTTACAATTTGTTGAACAAGTGAGCATAAAATCTTCAGGATGAATGTTTATGCAAGATACCAACATACAAAATGTCAAGTGCATTGAATCCAGGTTTATAGAACAATGCTTACAAGAAAATTTGATTTCTTATTTCTGAATGCTACTTGTCAAATATCTTAAGCTCTTGGACAATACAGGTTCACACAAAAAGGCGTGAATATATTTTCTTAAATAACTGTATATTTAAACTAAGTGAACCTTGGGGTGTGGCCAATTTTAATCAAATGGGCATGGTTTATATAGCATGGTGTTGCAACATGCCAAATATCTCGTTGGGCATTGCAGTTTCTGAGGTTTTTTTTAAAGATTCTATTTTAAAGTCTATCTTTAGACTTTTTTAACCTACAGTACTTATACATCAGACTGTATATATAGCTCTTTTATAGAGAGCCACCTATGAACTGTAAAGTTTAGCCAAAATCCAGGACATGTTATATACAGACATTGCGGACACTACATGTGCTCAGGTAAGCTCAACTGAACATTTATTGAAATAGAAAAAAATATTTAGTAACAAGAGAATCACAATTTTACCTGTATAAGATCTCTAATTGGGGTTGACTGTAGTAAAGGATGGAATATCCTTATAGAGGCATAGTCCGGATATACTGAATCTGTGTAACAAATGTATAATACAGTTTTCAGATCCTTCATCTGTGCATATGTTAACACTGAAACATAAAAAAATACATACTGTTACATAACATATAGAGATACAAATACATTTTATAGCTTGTTATGTAACATCTCAAATCTTATAAATCTTACCTTAGTGCAGTAACGGGTTAACTCCCATTGAAATTTAATAGGAATAATTCCATTACTGCAATAAGCAGACAATATGTAATTCTTGTTAAAAAATTACAAGTGTGTTTTCCTCATATTAAGTTTGACGGTGTGCTCACTGCTACATAACATGGTGTTTAAAGTTCTGCTCAGGTTAATGACTGCAAAAAGAGGTTTGACAAAGGACCTTGTAAGGTTGATATTTACACATAAAGTCTAGAAGAGGTCCTATCATTACTTCTTGAAAACCTGTGATTAAATTCTTCTTTTTTTCTTCCTTTCTTTTGACTGTATATCAATTTGAATTTTTTTTCAAAGTGGAGACAATTATGATTCATCACAAATGCATCTTTTTTCTTCTTTCAACAACATATTCACATAATGGTCTTTTATGTTATTATATTATGGTAAAAGTGAACAAAATCACAATGAAAGTAGTATTAAATACATGTACATTTGTTGTAATATAACAATACATTTGTGAATGAGTCTAGAATACTGATATCAAGTAAGACTGTGGAAAGAAGTTACACATTTCTGGAACAAATTTAATGTGACATGTCAACAAATGACCAAAACTTTAATATCCTTTTTTAATCATGGGTAACTTTTTTGCCAGAAAACACCAAACAACAGCAAAATCACAATTAGACATATATTTTGATATCAAACAAAGTAATTTAAAGAACTTTTTTCTCACATGCCTTAAGATTATATTACTTACATTGAGCTGGCAAGCCGGAGACAAGATTAGGCTGTTCTAGGTATGGTCCTAACGGTGTTCCAGGAAATTTGTTGGTCTTTAGTGATCGGAGAAATGGTGGATTCATGTCAGAGACAGGCACGTCACTTTTATACTCGCTTGTCATACACGAACATAATATTGACATATAGAAATGTGGCGAGTCGGAACTGATGCAGGAAAATAACTGAAAATGTAATATAGATACGGGTACTACAAAATCAGAATTATTTGGGGGATATTAATTTTTGAGGTATTTCAATCAATGAAATTTAGGATCCAGTGAAATCTTACACCTTCTACTGTACTGGGGTCCTACATATTTACCGGACAATCAGTTTACCGGACAAAAGCTATTACTGCTGAATAGTGCTTTATTTTTTGCTTCAATTAAAAATCATACATTCTGAATTGTACACACACTTTCTATTTCAAAGTAAATAACAACAAAACCACTCTCAGGTAAATATTGTTGATTAAGTTCTTTATCTACTAACATGCCCTTTTGTTTACTAGTTATTTCATGACCTGGTCATGCGAGGGATTAATCTGTTCTGCGCAGGTCCGAATATGGAGACCCTTAATGGGTTTTTTTAGATAGATTTTACTTTTAACTCGTTTCAACGTTACCTCAAGAGACAATCGTAACATAATCATATTTTAATGATAAAAGTAATTTTAAAGAGCTAGGTTCACTAACCATGGATTTTTGCCCAAGATTTTTGCAAAAAATAATTTGATGAAAAGTTCTTGTTTTTAGGTTTTATTTATAAGTTCAATCCTTAAACTGTTAAAAAGTTATGAATTTATAGACATATGTTTACATTTAGTATAATTTATTTTCTATGGAAATACCCCTATTTCCAGCATAATTAGGAAAATTCACGTATTTTTGGTGTTTTAAACGAAAATTAAAGTATCAGCACAGTCCAGCCCCAACAAAATCATTACACCATTGTGTTGTAATGTATCAAAGGCTTCAACTATATCAATATAAAGTTGGGGCCTGCCTGTGCTCTATTCCAAAATAAGATTTTTATCTAATATCTAAACGTCATTTTCTGGCATTAATTTCAGTAAATGCAAACAATGGAGCATGTATATTGCACTCAACATTATTAATTTTTATTCTAAGTTGTTGAAATATGATTCATAACATATATTTTAATAAATGTTTGCAGGAAAATCATTTCTAGTAAATTAAAGGCACTTTCACTAAAATTAGTACGATTATGTTTTGGTACGAGTTCGACGGTTTCCACTGTAACAGTTGTAAACAAAACTCTGGCAGGTTAAAAGAATTATATGTAAACGCTTATAAATAAATGCTGAAATTCTACTTATGCCCTAAATATTTCATTCTTAGAATTAGCAAGGTGTTGTTATGTAATTTTATTGATTCATTGAAAGAAGTTATGCTGTTCAAGCTATTTTATTGCTGAATACTTGATCTGGGTCCGGTTCTTTCGCCCTCACAAAAAAACAACAACAACAACATACAACTGTGGTCTAAGTTGTCTTTTACAAAGAAGTGCAAATTAAAAAACATATAAGGAAACGGGTTACGCCCATGGGAGGAAACTCTACATGAAATAAATGTAAATAAAATTGATTTTATGGCTTTTGTAACATGCTACATGATGACAAAAAGGAAACTGTATGACAAAGAACAGAAGAACAGAATTCCATTTGATAATTAAAATGTTTTATACGTTTAAGGATCATGAGGGATCAATACGTTAATTGAGTTAATAGTTTTAATTTCAATTACACCCTAAATATTGGCCTCTTCATTACAGGCATTGCTGCCGTATCTATTTCTAGTGACATACTGGGTTTTTCAAATATCTTATTCTTGCCATTCAATAGCCGTAGCTTCCTTGCTGGTTATTTAAAGATTAATTTCAATTCACGACTTCAAAAAATTTTGAAACACAATGTCCGGTAAATTGAGTTGTTTACACGATTTTTTTCCTATTATAATGCCCTACTTTAAAGACACATTTCTACAGTCAAATGTTTAATTTCATGTTTGATAAAGGAATGTTTACGTGCATTAAGAACCCAAAATTATTTGGGTAAAATTACATTCTTTTTTATTATTTTAAATAAAAGTTACAGATAAAAAACTTCATATTTTGTCCGGTAATATGTAGGACCCCAGTAAGATTATTATGATTTACAATTTTTACATATTTTGCAAAGTCAGAATTCAAGAACCAACGAAACTGTCCTTTCTGACAAAACCACAAAATTTCATACCTAAAACATTCAATTATTTTACAGCATTGTTATATCATTTTAAGATTGCAGGTGGCAACAAAATATATCCATGTAGACCAGTGCAGAAAATGTATCTGTAGTTTTACCTTAGCCGGCTGGCGTCGATGGAAAATACCAATGCAACCAGTGCAGACCAAGACATCCAGTATATCTGTGTTGTTTGATCATGGTCTACACTGTTCGCTTAAATTTCAGTACATTTCTTTAAAATTTCCCTAAAAATGATAAATTGTTTTGATGGTTTTGAACTTTAGTCAAGCTTGAACAATAGACAAGTCCATTTAACATATTTAGCATGGTAAGGGTAAAATAATATTTGGACAGCGCGAAGATTGTAATAATGTGAAGGATTAACAGCAAAATTATTATAGTCAGAAATCTTAACAAACCACAACAGTATTATTTTAAATTATAAATCATTATACAAAAAGAATATTAAATCTACCTGTTCTGTAAATGAATATGACTGCTCTGGACTGACATCTGTTTTACACAAGCAGAGAAATGCATCTGGAATTTGTCTACATCTGTAGATATAACAAGTCTTGTCTGTGGGTGACAGCTGATCAAATGTGTTTATATCAGTATCTTCCAGTCCACTGAATAATGCACCAACTACATAGTAATTCTCAGTGAGGATGTATGACTGAGCAAATGCTGGAAAAAATAAGTGATAAAGAAGATCTTTGTCACATATTTCAATCATATATTCATATGAAAATAGAGACAAGAATGTATTTTATAATTTAACCCTTACCTTGATGGAATCAAAGTGATAATAGTCTAGTAAAAATAAAATATGACCCAGAACTAATTGCAAAAGTTTTGAATCTTTGTTCATTGAATAGGTCTGGTATATGTATATGTCAGAAAAAAAGTTGCACATATAACTCTGTGCACAACTTTTTTTACAAGCGTTCAAAGTTCACGAATTTTAACTTTATATTTTAAGACCCGAACTGTACACCATACACGCAGTTTTTTCCTATGACGTAACAATTTTACGTAGGCACGCGCGTCATTGAAAACTTGTCATATGATTTCGTGAAACTTCCGTCGAAAAATAAATATCATTTTTCATCAACAATAGCCTTTGGATGGCAAAGGTAAGTTTGTTTTGTGTATTTTACATTTACTTTTATCATTTATGCCTTTTTACTTTCACTATAAGTGCCATAGTTAAATAAAACTACGATTTTATGTTAAATATTTTTGGAAATAAACAGCAAACCAATATCACCAGTAAATGTTAGTATTTGATTTTTTTCTATTCCTAAAATAAACGATATATATATATTTATAAGAAAACGATGTTAATAAGACATATTTAATATGAAAACTTTGTATTTTCGACATTATATTGTTACTTTGAAATGAACAAATTTCACGATTTTTTAATCTACGGAAGACAAAACGGGCCATAATTTACGTCGTGAATATGCATTATTTTATTATAACAATGTATTTTATTGTTCTGGTCGGGGACCATCAAACGAACACTTTTTGAACAATTTTCCGTACAAATTTCATAATTTCTAACCTAGAGACCTTAAAATTTGACACAGTTCAGCTAGGTTCTTCTCCTAACTTACAAACTGGTTTGTTTATTTCTGATTGTATTGACACTTATATCTGAGGCTCTACAAGGAGGGTATCAAAATTACCTAAATTGTCTACACTACAGTACAATGTGTCCAGACAGATATGTACATCACATGATTTAATTAAGATAAAAGCTTGGGGTGTTTTGATTTTAGATTTTTAACATGATATACAATATTTCAGCAACAAATGCTGAAGTTTTGGATATTCTATTGTTTACTCTGCAAATGATTATAGCTGGTATATGAGGTCAGACAATGCTTTCTTGACCCCCAAATTTCAACGTCAACATTCTAGAAATAGACAATAAAAATATTACTTTACGTAGGTTGAAATAAATTTATTTACTTAATTTTAGAAGAAATATGCATTTATTGTTGATGAAAAAGTGACTGACAACCACTGAACAAAGAAAATACTAAATAAAGCATTTTCGGGGCCGTCCGGGTTTGGTGGTTGTCTGGTTTTGGTGGTCCCAAACCAGTATATAAAACAATATTCAGATTTACATGTACGTATATATAAATTTATATTTAGATATATATTTTGCATTATTAAACATGTAAATGTACATAAATAAAATCAATTATACTTAATTTCAGATAGGACATCCATGATTTACATGATGATTATCTAATGTTCAGCTATCTCTTGTATCAAGGTGAGTCATACTTTAAGTGTTATCTATGCACAATTTCTATCTATAATATATGAACAATGTCTGTTTTAACTTGTCCTTTTTTTAAATATGCTATTATGTGAAATGAACCACACCAGTAGCTCTTCATAGGAAATTTGCAAAATCGCTCCCGAGCTTTCATACTACATGATTGCCCGGAACATACAATACATTCCTTATATGTTCACCTTCCTCGGTCTGTTGTGATTGTATAACTTACTGATTTAATATTTTAAAAATGCAAAGTATAACATAGTACGGATATTTTTTGTTATTGCCTACATTTAACACCTATGGAAAGTAATGCCGAATATTCATATTGGCATTGGCAAAATGAAGTCACGCTTTATTAATCAAAGTGGAAAAATGAAATGAACGATTATGTCATTTGAGTATCTGTTCATGCAAAATATACTTGTTTCTTTTAAATACAAAGTTAATATGCTAATATAAATATATGCTAAATTCATACATGATTTCTCACAAAATATGTCTTTTATTTCTATAGATGATACAAGCCACATTACCAAACCATGCTGATGGAACAAACAACGATTTGAAGGACGTTGCATTTCGGTATGTTTATACTGACTACTGTATATTAAATAAATAAAAAAGTCATGACAATTTCTCTGTAAATATACACATGCTTGCCACTAAGTTTTCGGACAAAGGTTTAATGTATGTTAAATGCAGGGAAATAACATAGGCTATTTAAGGTAGGCTGAAATAAATGCACATTTTATACTGAATATTTTTTTTTCCAGAAACCCGTTGTGCATTTCTGATTTCGGGATCTACAAGTAAATATCAACATGACAACAGGTATATTTTGTTTTTACCAATGTCGGATGGTTTATACATTCATCATGTTCCCATGTGTCGATATTGGTCTGAATAGTAAGAAAATCAATACACAAACATATATAAAATAACATATTTCATAAGTTATATACATGTTTATTCATATTTTATACTACATAATACTATCGTTACTGTGAAATAATGCATATACAAAATAATAATATATACAGATCTGTAGATTTAAAATATGCTTTCAGATTCTACAACGTGCGTATTTTGTGCGCAGGATATCCAGAATTGGTCCCAATTGTCACTCTCAGAGAGAAGGGAAGCAACAGTGTTAACCATGCTAGCGATCTGAGTAATTCAAGTATACAAGTATACGAACAATTACAGGCCAAATTGTGCACCAAGACTGCAGAAAGGATTTTATTCACAATAGAAACATTTCAAATAGTTCCAATGTTAAGTGTGACCAAGTTAAAATACCTTTAAGATCAAATTCTAACTTTGCTTTTAAGTGTAATTGCTTGTTCTGTGGTAAGCCTGCTAAAGTTGCATCTGGTAAACGTAGATGTTCATCCTGGTAGAAGTTTTGATTGTCAGGAAACACATCGTCGGAACCCACGGTACACATTCCGTATATACTACATTTTATAAATAGCCTGGGTTACCGAGGATGCAGGAAACAATACAACTCAAATGTTCTGAGAGAAACAATCTGTGGGGAAATGTTGTTTTAAACAGACTGTTGTCAGTTTTAGATTTTCGTCAGATTCGAAGAATGTATATTTCAGATAAGACAATGAAAACCCAAATAGTTTGGCATATATATTCAAAAGACACCAAAATGTGATTGGAATAGATATTTGTTATCTCCTACCATTCCTGCACGCTTTCTATGGTATAATGTGTAAAAATGAAGTGTTCCGGCAAAATGCTGCAATATTTCATTCGCCAACAAACAAAGAAGAAATTATTACAGGCGGTGAAAATGCCATGAGGATATTATATGATGGAGCTAGGGAGATAAATTTGAACAGACTGATATTTCACAAATTTGTAAGTAAAACCATGTCAAGTTGATCTGTTGTTCAAATTCAAAGCATTCCGCCTACGTCTGATGCTGCGGCGCAACACTCTATGCAGTCATATTTTCAAACACAAACATGGATTGGAAATGATAAATTAGATCCAACTGAATGGGGATAGGAACTTCTCGAAGGACTCTTGTACCCACAAAATCTACACAACCCGCTGCTCCAGATTTTCTTTTAAATATTATCAGATGCAATTGCAAAAAATGCCACTCTGTCGCAAACATGACCTCGAATGTTCGGTTGGTTGTGGAGAATGTCATTGTATTAGCTGTTCAAACTGTCGGTCCATTTCAGATATTGATTTTGCAGACATGGAGGACTAGATCTTGTATCGACACAATGCTCTTAGAACTAAGTTGTCAATTTTTACCTGTTTTGTATTGAAATGTATTCATATTTTGTGTTATTATTGGCAATGTTCATGCATCTGGCATCTTGTTTTTACATAAGCAATAGAGGTTTCACTTTAAGTTATTCATATAAAACTTTGCAGACAAATATGTTCTATATATTGAACAGTCTCACATTCCTCGCGAAGTAAATACAATGTAGCTTGTAATTAAAACAAAAGATTTATAATAATGCTCTTTTTGCTTTCCATATGAAGTAGTTCTTTAGTATTGTAGTTATACTCTTTTATCCAGTGTCAAATTATACTAAAATTTATGCACAATACTTTACAGTAGTAGTATTGTACATTTAGAGTTAGATTGTTTATTGAATACATAATTATCAATGCTTTCTTATATTTGCTTGTGTTGCTACACACTGTTTTTTCTCTAATTGTCAATGTCAAAGTTCACCTTAAATAAAAAATGTATTACTATACTCTCTGAAATACAGAACGATAATTTCAAATTTATAGAAGTGGTCTTATATGTTGTAGACTGTTATGTGTTAGTACAAGCATGACAAAAATGTAGTTCTTGTGAATGAAACAGCCTGTATATTCGTGTTCTTTATATTTATTATCACTACATTGTTGCTTGCCAAATTAGGTAGCTCTTCGGTACATTTGTACATTTGTAATATAGTTTTATTCCGTGTGTAATGTCAAATTTCAACAAGTGACACTTAAATGTATATACTACAATTTCTCCATAGACCGTATAGTTTTGGTAATTGTAACTCGCTCTTAATTATACTTACTTGTTGTTGTTGTTCTTTTTTTTGCTTGAAACAAACAAATTATTCACAATGCGTTGGATGTTCAGAATGTTAGCTAAACAAAGTGTACCTGAATTATTCAACATTTATCTAAAAACACATGTTTGTCCATTTTAATTCATATGAATACAGTTGACATAATTTACAAAGTACTTCTTCATGCATAAATATGTTATTATGTATTGTTTTTACTGTAAATATGCATGGAATGGATGATTTGCTGCTTATATATCGGAATTTGACTGGTTAAAAATTTTAACATAAAGTGGGTGGGGTAATGACACCAGTTTGTCATAGAATTGCCCACCAACAAATTTTTATTTATTTTAAATGCATAAATTTTTGTGTCAACATGGACAAAAATTTGTTTGTATGAAGTTTGCATGTAATAAATATGTTTAACTTATATACAAAATGTATAGAAGTGTTTTTTTAGTATCATCGGAAATTAACAAATTACGCCGATTTTATAACTGAAATTTAAGGGTGTCAACTTGAAAGCTAGAATTATCACATTTCCCCTTCAGCAAAAGAGTGCAACTTTTTTCCTAATATCAAGCAGATATGGTACCATCATAAAATTCCAAAACAAAAACTTTTGCAATTAGTTCTAGGTTAGCTTGATTTTCGGGCTAATTTGACTAGACTATAAGACTTTGCCACCGATATAGAGGCAAAACAGCCTGCATAATGTGACCAGGCTTTATACTGTTGGCTGACTAACTTTAAGCACCAAAATTGCTAATGGACAGTACCAAAAAGAAAAGCTGGTCTAGTACATTTAAGAAATTCAGCAAGTTTTGGTTTTAAAGATTTAAGATCAATATCTCAAATATAGATATTTCATTTACAGTGGTGCAATAATTGACAGAAATAATAGTCTAAAATTATAAATGATTATTTTCAAATATACAGAATGCACATTCTTCATATACTTATCAATTCATTATGGTGAGATATACATACATTCAAAATCTTTTGACTCAAAATTAAAAGATTTATAGCAGGACAACACAAAATATACATTGTACATTGAACTCTAGTCTTAACAACTACATGTATCATGCAAAAAACAAATGGTTGACAAGACACACAGACAGACAGATGGAAGACAAACAGCAATTGATCCTAAAAGCTAGAAAAACGTGCAATGTCTAAATGAAAATTGTGTGCTGCTGACAAGATAACTAAACATGCAAACAAATCAACATAATGATACACAGGCATTCTGTTATAATGGTCCTTGACCTTTGAGTTAATGTAATAATGGGCCTGAATTGGGTGGTAGAGCAGTATTACCTGATGCTGCAGGGCCAATTGCTATAATAAGACTCTGACACGGTAATTTCCCATCTGGTTTTTTGAGAACTTCCGCTCGCACTACAGGAGACCATCTTATATTTGTCCTAATAAAAAGTAAAATCACTTCATAAGTCACATGGTACATGGTTCAGTCAAATCCAAAGTTATATTTATGATTTAATAATGAATAGTTTAAGTTAGAAGGTCGTTGTTTTGTATGCTAATGCTTTGAATTACTAAATCTTCTTTTTTTTTTAAATTATAAGCAAATGGAATACATAATCATTACAGACAAACAAGCTTGTTTTCTTCGCTTTAAAAAAAAAACGCATTCTCAGTAGAACCATAGCGATGTGTGTTTAAATGTATAATTGTATTTTTAAATAGACAAATATTGATCATAGAGCTAAATGTATGTATATCTGTGATAATTATCGAACAATAAGCCTAAATTAAAGCCTATAAAGGGACTGACAATAGAATTTTAGAATGTGTTTCACGGAACAAGCAAGCTTTCGTTAATGATCAATGGACAAACTTCTACTGTTAGTAATTGACGCAATTATCAGAGCCCAACAACAATTATTTTCGGTACTTTTTTCATTTTAAAGGGGTTGAAAAATAAACTTATTTAAACAAAAAAGGATTATTATAATAATTATGTAAACAATTTTAAACGATGTTGATCAATTGCAACTAAACGCTTTTTTTTTCTCGCCATATGGAGATGACAAAGATCGTTATTCATACTTTCTTTACTGTAGCCAACATTGGCGATTATAATCTCTAACATACAAAGAAAATTGCTGTTTCTTCCTTAAAATCTTCACTTAAAGACATAAAATTGCATAAAAATTTTTGACTTTCATATAATTTTGAAAAGTGCCATACGGCTCGACCAATACATGCAACGTGTCCTAGCTAGCCATTTCCTCTTTATTACTTTATAAGGTTATTTACATGTATTTAAAAATGCCAAACCGCTTGCCTCAACAGTGTGTATAGGCTACAGTAGTCTTATGTGACTCACATACGGCTAGAACTTTTGGCTAGCAAGTACGGCTAGCCACTGCCTTTAATCAAACACTGACCATTTATCAGCCAATACTTTCTTTATTCACAAGAATGTTATCATGTAAATATCGTTTTGGTTGTATGTACTAATTACTTTTTTGAAAATGTTACAATTAAGAACAATTAGAAATTGTTGTGAACAAACTATGTCCATTAGAAATTGTTGTGAACAAACTATGTCGCGAAAACACATGTCACTTTAAAAAAACCTTTTTGAAAAAAAAAATATTCCTGGTAAAATGGAAATATAAAATGATAACACACGTGGAAATAGTTGGACAGTCCAATTCATCTTCGTCTTCATCAACGGCTCTGGAACGTGACTGAATAATTTCTCCAAAGAAACTTGCCATTTCATGAAGGTTTCAGTGTACTAAATTTGGGGATTTACGTTGATTTATTTCGGCCCAAGAAAGTTCGACCCAGACATATTGGTCCACGACTACCCATTGTATACGCACCGGTCTCAAATATCAGTAAGACCGGTGTACACAATGCACGACTACCAACTTTTACAAGATATGAATTTCGAGGTTTTATACTATATCTCAAATGTTATTTTTAAAAGTAGATCAATAAATAAATGAATTTCATTGTCCCATTCTGCAGAACAGACACCATGAAGTTCTCCTTTGTACCTTAATTCGGCTATCCGCCTGTGGAACCAGCTTCCAGAGCACCTAGCCACAGCAGTCAACCTTGAGGCCTTCAAGGGAGGACTAGTCATGGGGCCCTAATATGCCGGAGTTGATTTTATTTTTACCATGTTCTTCTTTTAAATCTGCACTTATTCGCCGCACAACACTTTGTACACACACCCTGTAGGTTAATGCCCAAGAGTGTGTTATGTGCAGTATTGGAAGAAGAAGAAGATTTCATCTTAAAGGAATTAAGATTTTACAAACCTCATAATAAGAGTAAAAAGTTCTATCATTAAAAGTACTCTTTCATTAAATCAAACAAGACAGAAAACTGTAAATGTGGAGTAGCATCTTAAAAGAGTGATGGTCGATCACCCTTTACAGATCCTGAAATGAAAGTAGACATACTAAATAAACAATATTATGAGTCTGTTTTCTCCCGCCCCCAACCATATTAAGTCAGGTCCCCAACCAGCTCTCCCTAAGTTTATTGAAAGAACTTCATACTGAAAGTGCCCCGTTCTCACACATATCTTCCACATTTCCCTTAAAACCGATATTGTCCAAAATGATCGGAAGCATGCTGGCATTGTCCCTGTTAATAATAAAGGCTCAAAATGTAAGCCTTGTAACTACAGGCCTACATGTAAATTTATTTCATTCACATGCATTTCCTCGAAGCTAATGGAACATATACTAGTCTCCAATATCATGTCTTTCTACGATAAGCATGACATCCTCAGCCATTTTCAACATGGTTTCAGGTCAAAACATAGCTGCGAAACCCAGCTTATCAGTTTCACTTCACAGGAAGTTCATGACAACTTAAAGCAAGGCCAACAGACTGATGTCATTGTCATGGACTTTAGCAAAATATGAGTAAAATCATTTAAAAAAACACTACAAACTTCTCCTAAACTACAAATACTAGGCGTTAACTCTGAGTTCATAACATGGACAAGGTCATTCTAAATATGGTCGCACCCAACATTTTGCTGTTGATGGTCAAAACTATGACAACCTACCTAGCTGTTCCCTTTGGTGTCCCTCAAGGCTCGGTTTTGGGACCTTGCCTTTTCTTATCCTATATTAATGATCTCCCTGACAGTGTTAAGGGCAGGCATTAACTACTAGTATTTTCAGACGACACAATAGTATATCTTACAATTAAATTAGCCCAAAATTCCCCAAACCCTCCAAAAAGATCTAAACAGCATTGAAAACTGAAAATTTGATTGGTCCTTGGAATTTAATCTCGATAAATGCGAAGTCCTGAGAATAAGCCACAAAAAAACATCCAGTAATATTCCCTTATAAACTTCATGGTCAACAACTAAAATCCACCGAGGCTGCAAATATTTAGATGTTACAATAAGTAAAGATCTATCTTGGACCAACTATAAATAACATAGAAATGTAACAGCAAAAGCAAAATTAATAACAAAAGAAATGTCAAAACTTCCAACAAAAAGGTCAAAGAAACTGTCGATAAAACTTACATAAGGCCCCAGTTAGAATACTGTTCCGTGGTTTGGCATCCTTGAGGAAGAAATCTGGTTTACAAATTAGAACAAGTTCAAATGCCAGCTGCCAGATACCTATTTAATGACTACAATTACACTATTTTAAAATACATTTGTTTTAACAGTTATTCCCAGACAACGCACCTGCTTAGTTTAATTGTAAACGATTTCGAAGCATTAATTATGATATAGACGTAGAAGATGTATTTAATTAAACAAAGAATGCATGATTGTTAATTATGGTGTGAACATCATCTTATCATAGAAAGAGGCGACTCCAGTTTGGCCCAGTAGTACGTTAAATAATGCTGTGCCGGATTATGTTCTTGTCGGTTCCATACGATATTGTCAAAAGTGTACTCCCTCGGGGCTTGGCAGAGATTTTTTTCGGATGACTTGAATGCTTATGAAAAGTGAATTATTGATTAGCTTATTTCTTTCAAATCTTCTATTGAATATGAAAGTTACAGTGGCAGAAAGGTGTAGAACACTATACTTTACTACTGCAATCTATAAGTCATTGTTTTCTTCACTAAAAGTCAAAGCAGAGGCATAAATTACAGAGATAGGCAACTTCCTAGCCAGTTAAGATATCACGTGTGCTTGCTAAACTTAAAACTTTTGTAAAGTAAATCTTATTAACCAGACATCAAAATCATTATAAAGAAATTAGAAACGTACTAAAAGCAGTTCAAAACAGCAGACAGTTTAATAATGATAATATTGAATGCTGCGTTAAGATAAAATGTATTACTACAAACTTTATTGAATTTACCCCCTTATATTTATCTTGACAGAACATTGTTTATTCAAGCAGCTAAGACTTAGATAACAAAATAACAAAAGAAAATAAATAGTGTTGTAAAATCATCAAAAAGGCGCCACCCCTCCTACAACCACCCCATTCAATTTATTTTACTCAGCTCCTATGATATCACGGGTTCTATGATATCACGGTATTTACATTTTCTGTGACTGCTAGTAAAAGCAACACACGATGATGCTAATATTTTTAAAACTGGCACACTAAATTCATTGTCATCTGTCAGTAAATTTAATTTTGTTAATAATGAATGTATTCGTGGAAAGAAAACTATTTTATAAATCTTCATATTTGACTTCTATTTCCCTTAAAGGGACTCCATTGAGTTTGTTTTTTTTTTACGTAAAGGGACCGAAAAATATTTTTTCAATATTTTTGTATAACTATATGTATGTTTAGACCAATAACTCATGTACAGAATTTCAGATCATTCGCTCACTCCGTTTCCCAGAAATAATCAATTTTATTGTGCAAATTGGCCCAATAAATGAAAACCGTTTAACTGCTTTTCGATCAAATCGGCCAAAAATCGCATAAAAATCGATTATCAATTTCATACCGTGTATATTTATATATCATCTGTTCCTTAGTTTCAAATTTAAATGTACCAGTCGATTTAAGAAACAATTTCAAAATTTATTATTTTAGGCTAATTAATTGGACCCCAGTGGAATTCCTTTAATTGTTCTTACACACTCAAATAAAATATGTTATAATCACATATGCTGACATATCGTCTGTTCATATGGTTTGAATTTTATAGCAAGTTAACTCTTGGAAGTTTTCCACAACTTAACTTGAAGATTTTGACCCATCTATCCTTCCATACTTGCATTTTGGGGGATTACCGTGATACATTAGTAACCTCCTCTTAAATTACCAAAAATGGCAAACAATGCAAATAGTTTAAAAAATGAGATTAAGTTAGATCTTCAGAAATAAATTTTGACATACAGTCATTGAAAAGGATCAATTATTAAATAGAAGAAGAATCTCATTGATGTATGATATTTATATGATAAACGTTAAATACCGTGATATCATCAAATTTAAGGGCCGGCACAGTGTTTGGATAGTGTAAAAAAGTAATTTTAGAAAAAAATATAGTTTATATATAATATATACAGTAGACATTACATATAAACTATATATTTTTTTCTAGAATTACTTTTTTACACTATCCCAACACTGTGCCGGGTCCCTATGGATATCATAGAATCCCGGGCTATAAGATGCTAACCCAATCTTCATAAAAAAGCAACAGAAGAAAAAGATGATACAGGTAATTGGCAAACAAGTACCTTTTTGGAAACTCTAATAGGACATTAAATATTAAAAGTTTTTCAGAAATAAAAAATGGGACAATACCAGCCTTTAAAATATGTTGCCAATGGTACCATTTGATAGACAGAGCATAAGTTTTATTTTTCAATTAAGCTTGAACGTATTTTTTTTAAACAAATATAGACAATTAATAAAACAACTAATCAACTAATTAACAATCGTGTGAGAGAGGATCAGATATAAGTTAGTTTAATACCATATCCACCCCCCCCCCCCTTTAATAAAGGAGTCATTTTCGTTATTTAGTCGTACCGCGTATCTCTTTTCGTTTAAAAAAATCCGGAAGTCATTTCTCAGCTCAGTCTATTTGCTTTCTTTTATCTTTTCTTTTCTAATTTTCAAGTATTCATTTTTTGATAACGTTTTATCCATATTTATCAAAGGCGAAGGAAAATACACAACAGTTATAAATCAATTAATCGCAAGGTTAAAAAATAATTTCTAGTACGCAATAATATCAACTTCCGGTTTAGTCATTCACCTTCGACTGTTGTTTACATTTTGGCACAAAAGTAAGTTACGATTCTTACAACACTAGCCATGTTTAAGAACGTATCCAAGTGGCTAGGTGTTGTAGACAATACTGAGGAAGAAGAGACATTAGCTGTCAATGCAAAAGGAGAGGAGAAAGTTGTTGAGCATCAAGTGAAACCCACTGACACGGTTCAGAATCAGAATACTCAAGAAAGTGAAAGTGATACGGAAAGTAAAAAAGAAAATGACTTAATTTCACCTGAAACTAAACAGACATTAGAGGAAGTTTCGGCTAAAGCAATAAGCACAGCAAAGGAATGGGGAAGTAAGTTGCAAAAGATTTTTAATAACATCATGATCTAGATTTAGCCTTAGGTCCTATGAAACTTTGTTTTGAAATCCTTCATTGGTTGCAAATAATCCCGTGTGAATTTCACCTGACCGGGTGATGAGCGGAAAGTTGCATCTATAGCAGGGACGTTGCAGTGACAATCCACCATTTAAAGAAATCGCAGGGATCGGTGGACTCTGACAAAATGATAAAGCTGAACTGTACCTTCCTGATAAAAAAAATTGCATCACACACAAAAATTTTGTTAAAATCTCCAGATTCAATGCATGAATTGATTAAAGACATGTCACATGATAATTGTTTGTTTCTCACAAAATTATTTTGTTTCTACACGCAGATATATGAAGAGATTTAATTGTAATTAAAGGTATTTTCGTTCTACAATCGTTCAACAACAATAATAGCACACATGCATAATTACATTAATAACAATTACCACTATTATCAAGCTGTTTGAATTTTAAAATGACTAATTTTGATTAAGGCACAAATTCTAAGTTAATAACCTTCTTTTATCCAAAATAGGATGTTTCACAGAAGTAATTCTAAGGCCGATTTAACTTATTTGAGGCCGATTTAACTAATTTTGGGGCCAATTTGACTAATTTTGTGGCTGATTTGCCTTTTTAGCTCGACTTTTCGAAGAATATGAGAGCTATTGTAGTCGCCCCGGCGTCGGCGTCAGCGTCCGCGTCGGCGTCTGCGTTGGTTAAAGTTTTTTGTAAAGTCAAATATCTCAATTATTACTTGAGATATTCAACTGAAACTTACAATACTTATTTATAGTAACAAGGTACATCAGATTGACAAGTTTGATAACTCTGCCTACAATATTGACAGAATTATGCCCCTTTTTAACTTAGAAATTTTGGTTAAAGTTTTTTGTAAAGTCAAATATCTCAATTATTGCTTGAGATATTCAATTGACACTTACAATACTTATTTATAGTAACAAGGTACATCAGATAGACAAGTTGGATAACTCTGCCTACAATATTGACAGAATTATGCCCCTTTTTAACTTAGAAATTTTGGTTAAAGTTTTTTGTAAAGTCAAATATCTCAATTATTGCTTGAGATATTCAATTTAAACTTACAATACTTATTTATAGTAACAAGGTACATCAGATTGACAAGTGGGATAACTCTGCCTACAATATTTACAGAATTATGCCCCTTTTTAACTTAGAAATTTTGGTTAAAGTTTTTTGTAAAGTCAAATATCTCAATTATTGCTTGAGATATTCAATTTAAACTTACAATACTTATTTAAAGTAACAAGGTACATCAGATTGACAAGTGGGATAACTCTGCCTACAATATTGACAGAATTATGCTCCTTTGGAACTTAGAAATTTTTGTTAAAGTTTTTTTGTAAAGTCAAATATCTCAATTATTGCTTGAGATATTCAATTGAAATTTAAAATACTTTTTTGTTGTAACAATGTACATCAGTGTGCAAAATTGCATAACTCTGCCTGCAATATTTGCAGAATTATTTGCCCCTTTGAAACTTAGTAATTTTGGTTAAAGGTTAAAGGTATTCAAAGATATTTACTTGAAACTTTACACATGCACTTAGGGTCATAATTGGAGGGTCATAATTGTATGTCACTGACCAAGTTCCATAACTCTATCTTGCATTAAGGCTGATTCATATCCCCTTTTCTACTTAGTCTCTTGGTTAATTTTTACATGCAAGTTTTACATATCTCAATAACTATTAAAGATATTTATTTAAAACTTCACATATGCATTTAGGGTTATAATTGTAGGTCACTGACAAAGATCAATAATTCTATCTTGCATTTAGGCTGATTTTTCTCCCCTTTTTCAACTTAGAAATTCATGGTAAAGTTTTGTTTGTAAGCTGTTATCTCAATAACTACTGAAGGGTTTGTCACTTTGTGCCTTTTTTGGGACAATTTTATGCATTCATTATAATAAAAAAGCAGTGATTTCTTGATAAAACATCTTAATAACAAGCCTTTGTACCTTTTCTGTCAAATTTATGTATTCATAGGTAATTAGTATTATTATATTCAATAAAACACCCTTGTGACATTACCTTTCGAATAGTCAAGCCAATACTGTATAATTAGACTCTCTCTAAGGCCTATAACATGAATTTATAAAAAAAAAATTAGCCCTTTTGTGAACTTAAAAAATTTAACATTATCAAGGCTCTTTTACTATCAAGCACTTAGAATAGTCGAGCGTGCTGTCCTTCCGACAGCTCTTGTTAAAAATGTATTGAGGCAGATTTGACTATTTTGAAGCCGATTGCTAGTTAGATCTGGGACTGATTTGACTTAATTGTTTGCCGTTGGCAAATGAGTGATTATTTTGAAAACTACATTAATAACAGGACACCAAAACTAAAGAGATTTGAGAAATAAAAATTTAAGCATTTCTGGAGCATTCACCCAGAAGATCAACAAATATCCTTTCACTTCATACAGTTAAAAGATTTATCCAGTTTTCAAACAATGTCACTTTGTGGACTTAATCTCAAACAAATAAATTCTTAACACTCCTTGCATATTTTTAACTGAAAACAATATTTTTGCTATTTTTAAACTGGTTGTCACGTTATCATTTGTAGGTCAATGTTCAAATGCAAAATCTTAGTTTCTAAGTAAAGTTTTTGGAAACAAACCTTATTTTAGTGACACCTGATGAAATTTATCAATGCAGGTTGTTTTTATGAACATAAAAAGAAATATTTTGTCTATTTTGTTTTTCAGGCTATTTGTATACTTTTGGTGTTCATGCAACTGAAAAAGTTTCTGAGAAGGCAAAAGAGATAACAAAGTCAGTGGAAGAAAAGGTAAAACATTCTGTTACTAGAAATAATGAATGAAGTACCAGTGTGCATAAATTTCACAAATAACTCAGACCTTGAAAAAAAAAATGAATTTTCAAATTTGATATTCACTCTTTAAATGCTTAGAGGCAGTAATGGCTTGCTCAAGATCGTATTATGTATGCCACTTGTATAAAATAGGCTGGTTTGGATAATTTTCCTGTCTGATGTGATATATATTAAAGTTTTAAACACTTCTTTTTGCATCATTTTGATGAATGATATTGGGTCATGTTCCAAATCTCAAAAGCATGTTATTTTCCCAATTTCAGGAGAAAATTTCCAATTAAAGTTCCTCAGCAAATCCAAATAATTAAATGTGTTTATGAGTGAAGTGTTTTAAAGTACTAATAAAAAAAAGGAATTGAATCAACAAAATATTTGATTTGTTTGTTTTATTTGATATATGTAATATTGTGTGATTTTTTCCAATTTGTATAAAACAATGCTAAAATCCTAATTTTGGGGTTGGGCCATGTTTCCCAGAATGGTGAGAAAAAACCTTGTTTTTTTACCCTGTTTAAAAATGGTATTAAGGTTTAGAATATACATAAAAATGAATTCACATACATGTACATTTAATATTGGCTTGATACAAACATATTCTTGTATTAAAGCTGGTGCTAAGCTAATAAGTATAATTTTGACAACAATATATTGCAATAAAACTATGCAATGTTTTATTGTATTAAATCAATTTCCAATTTTTCTAGAACTTAATATATATTCTTTCATATATATACATGTATATTGTGACTGGGTAGGTAATTTAAGGAGTATGATCTGAATAAATCTCTTGAGTTTTAATCTACATGTATGGCAGAAGGCACAATGTTCAAAATGAGAGAAAATCCATTCTCTCTGTTACGGAAACTCACCTGCAGGATGAGTGGCAAATAAGATGGAGAATTTTCTTAAATATTTTATTTTAGATTTTCATAATCTGCATATAAGACTTCTAAGGTGTTCAGTAATTACCATATAATTAACCTTTTACCCCATGAGCATATTGCGAAAAATGGCCGTTTTCATTGAAAAGCCTCCTGTAACAAGTTCAAACTGCTATGAAACTATGAAAAATGCGTCAATACTGATGAAACTTGGCACAAATGTTGACTAGACCATAGCCTCTGTAACAGCATTCAGTTCTAATAGAGACAAAAAATAATATTGAAAGAAGAAATTTATATCAATAAATATTTCATACAAATAAATGTAGGTCTTAAAGAGTTTTGCTTGTAATCATGACTTGCTTGATTAACATAATGACTTGTGTGATACAAGTAACAGTGAAGAATATAAATACATGCATTCAATTTAGATAAGGTTATTGGCAATTATTGCTTTGCATAATAAAACAATAAAAACATTAGTTGCTTTAGAAAGAAAAGTGAAAGTTTTTTTCTTTTGAAAAAAAAAAGTGATTTAAATATGCCCTCTGGGAATATTTTATTCAACAGATAATTTATGTAAAAGATGGTCATCTTACCAGTATTACTTAATTGTTGATTTATAATTGTTGATTTATATTTTAGACATTTTTACATGACTTCAACAAAGAGCAGTTGTGTTTTGTTGAAGAGAAAAAAGAGCGAGACAAAAAATCAGAGGCAGCTGTGCCCCCGTGGGTGGGGTATAACGAAGAAGATGCCATGAAATCTCAAATTCTTGCATTGTCTCAGGTAAGAGGTAAACTTTACAAATAGTTTTAAACTGCATGTATTTCTGTATTCAGACAATCATTGGTGACTTCAACAATGAACAAGACATTTTTGTGTCTGAGAAGATGGAAAGAGTTAAGAAATCGGAGGCTGCTGTGCCCCCGTGGATCGGTTATTCTGAGGAAGAAACAATGAAATCTCAAATACTTGCATTGTCACAGGTATAAATGTGGGCAACATACTCATAGAGGGATAAAATTAATAATTATATGGTATCCTAAAATTTTGACAGGTTATATATGACTCAGTATAAATGGCTGGAAGCAGATATTATCCAAGCCATAAAGACAAGATTTATATTGCTAACAACCATTTATACATGACCATGTAATCTATCAAAAGTCTATATATTGTTTTTATGATACTGCGCAATTGCTTTCTTTGATTTGTAATAAAGTCATAAACTTGCACCAGCTGTGTATATAGATTAGATTACAAAAAGATCACGATTATCCAATGAAAATCAACATTATAAATGTGCAGTATTATAATATTGGATTTATAGACTTATGTAATGTATAGGAACGAGAAAATATTATGTGGTTGGCACTATTTATATATTGATAATAGTGAGTTTCTTTTTTATTAGAGTTTGCTTTTTGTTTTATGCTTCTTTTAGTTTGATGCTTCCATTGATGTAGAATACAGCAGCAGCAATTCTCAGTTTTTAGCTCGACTATTCGAAGAATATGAGAGCTATTGTAGTCGCCCCGGCGTCGGCGTCGGCGTCAGCGTCCGCGTCGGCGTCTGCGTTGGTTAAAGTTTTTTGTAAAGTCAAATATTTCAATTATTACTTGAGATATTCAATTGAAACTTACAATACTTATTTATAGTAACAATGTACATCACATTGACAAGTTGGATAACTCTGCCTACAATATTGACAGAATTATGCCCCTTTTTTAACTTAGAAATTTTTGGTTTAAAGTTTTTTGTAAAGTCAAATATCTCAATTATTGCTTGAGATATTCATTGAAACTTACAATACTTATTTATAGTTAACAAGGTACATCAGATTGACAAGTGGATAACTCTGCCTTACAATATTGACAGAATAATGCCCCTTTTTAACTTAGAAATTTTGGTTAAAGTTTTTTGTAAAGTCAAATATCTCAATTATTGCTTGAGATATTCAATTGAAACTTACAAATACTTATTTATAGTAACAATGTACATCAACATTGACAAGTTGGATAACTCTGCCTACAATATTGACAGAATTATGCCCCTTTGGAACTTAAAAATTTTTGGTTAAAGTTTTTTTTGTAAAGTCAATATCTCAAATTATTGCTTAAAAGATATTCAATTGAAATTTAAAATACTTATTTATAGTAACAATGTGCATCAGTTTTTGCAAAAATTGCACTAACTCTGTCTGCAATATTTGCAGAATTATTTGCCCCTTTGAACTTAGAAATTTTGGTTAAAGGTTAACGGTCTTCAAAGATATTTACTTGAAACTTTACACATGCACTTAGGGTCATAATTGGAGGGTCATAATTGTATGTCACTGACCAAGTTCCATAACTCTATCTTGCATTAAGGCTGATTCATATCCCCTTTTCTACTTAGTTTCTTGGTTAAGGTTTACATGCAAGTTTTACATATCTCAATAACTATTTAAAATATTTATTTAAAACTTCAATATGCATTTAGGGTCATAATTGTAGGTCACTGACAAAGATCCATAATTCTATCTTGCATTTAGGCTGATCTTTTCTCCCCTTTTCAACTTAGGAAATTCATGGTAAAGTTTTGCTTGTAAGCTGTTATCTCAAATAACTACTGAAGGGTTTGTGCCTTTTTTTGGGACAATTTTTATGCATTCATAATAATAAAGCAGTGATTTACTTGATAAAAACATCTTAATAACAAACCTTTGTACCTTTCTGTCAATTTATGTATTCATAGGTAATTAGTATTATTATACTCAAGAAAAAAAACCCTGTGTGACATTACCTTCCGAATAGTCAAGCCAATTCTGTATAATTAGACTCTCTCTAAGGCCTATAACATGAATTTATAAAAAAAAATTAGCCCTTTTGTGAACTTAAAAAATTTAACAATATCAAGGCTCTTTTACTATCAAGCACTTAGAATAGTCGAGCATGCTGTCCTACCGACAGCTCTTGTTTTTTTGTGTCCTAGCTCTTAAACTGTTTGAATTTACCAGATAATACCTTACCTAGTTTGCCAACAACATGGTGTCCGGCCAATCTGTATATCCATAAACTCTAATTTTTTATAGTATATTAATAGTAACATCCCATAAACACCGAAGATTTTTTACTTGACCTGACTAGAAATTATTTTTTAAAGATAAATGTTCCATTTGATGGAGGTCTAGACTAATAACTTGTATACAAAATTGTAGGTAATTTGCTCTCTCAATTTTTTTCAGAATAACTATTTGAATTGCAAAAAATGACTCAAAATTAAAAATAAGGTTTCAACACCTATAACTCAAATCGGGCTAAAAATAGCACAAATATACAATTTTCAATTTATTCGGATTATATTTCTTAAATATCTTTTGCATATCTTTCAGTTTTAAGTGACCCAGCAGATCTTTGTAAGGAATTCAAAGTTTTGTTTTTAGGCTTTTGGACCTTAGTGGAGTTCCTTTTATAGGCAGTTTCATTTTCAAATGTGGTTGGGTATGAGTTATCATGAGTTATTATTTTAGAAAACATGTTTTGACCAAAAAAAAAAATGTGGATGGTAAAAATGATGGTGGCTCTTTTCCAGTGTTAATTGTAAAAAATAACTAATAATATCATTTTGATGAGTGGGTCAGTCAAATAACTCAAACCTTTTGGAAAAAAAACTGAATGTAGCAAAAAAGGTTAAGTTTTGTTAAGTTAAATAGCATAATACATTGATTGACAGCAAAGTAGCAGAGGACTGGCTATTCTTATCAGTAGAATTGCGAGTAAAGATAACCAGTTGTGTATCTCACTGTATAAATTGTATGTAAAAAAGGTCTGACTTGTGGTAGGTTTAACCGTAAATTTAAATACCTTCAGTGTCAAACTAAGTGTTAAAAAATAAACTGAGACGAAGCTAAGATCATGTGCTTTTCATTAGTGTAACAAATTGTAAAATCGACCATTAAATTGTCTCTAAGTTGCGGTTTAAAAATGGCTAAATTTGTATTGTTTTCGCATTAGAGATATCGATTTTACTCGAAGATAAGGAAAACAACACATATTATTTCACTCGATATTCTTCATATAGAGACTGTCAATGAATTATTTTAAGTTCAATAGCATAACTGGTCATACTTCATACTGGTAATGTATGCTGTTATTTCATAAAAAATACATTTATTAAAAAATATTTAAACAAATTAAAACCAAATATTAAAATATTATGTAATTATTTAATTGAATTGAACAGGTTATTTATAGCACAAAGCAGCTTTATACATGGACTTCATACCCTTTCATTGTATGTCATTACTTTATATGAGCCGTGTCACGACAAAACCAACATAGTGGGTTTGCGACCAGCATGGATCCAGACCAGCCTGCACATCCGCGCAGTCTGATCAGGATCCATGCTGTTCGCTATCAGTTTCTCTATTTGTTATAGGGTGTGTAAGCGAACAGCATGGATCCTGATCAGACTGCGCGGATGTGCAGGCTGGTCTGGATCCATGCTGGTCGCAAACCCATTATGTTGGTTTTGTCGTGACACGGCTCAATTATATATTCCACTATCTTATGCTCATTGTGACATTAATGATTATAATAAAAAATCATATAATAATAGTTATGATCAAAATTCATTTGGATAGTAATGATTATAAAAATCATAAACAGTGTTTAAGATCCTGTATGTTGTAATTGAGGTTGTATACCACACTTAAGTGAAATTATGTATATGTATATAATTATGCTTATAGAACAATTTTCAAACATCAAAGAATATGTAAAATATGTACTGCAAATATTTGTACATATTATATGTAATCATTAAAATATATGCATTCATTTCTTATTGAAAAATTTGATTTAGACTTTATAGAAAATAATGTTTTTATTACCTGCTTTTATTTACATGAAATGTGAAATTTGGTTATATCTTAATAAATAATGCTTTTGGAACTTACAAAATTGATAAATCTTAATTTGAGCATCATATTTATGATATAAAACTTAACCATAAAAAATTTGTGTTACAGGATCTTTAAACTTGAGCGTAAAATTTCACCAAATTTATTTGTTTTTAACTTTGCAGATGCATCAATCATCCAACACTACAACAGATTGTGTTTCAGTTTTTCTTTATGTCTATTCAGGGCAGTATTTTTTGCATCTTCACTTTGTATAGGTACTGGTATATCAGCAACCAGATCTATATAAACATTGAATTAAATAAATATAGTAATTTAAATTTTTGAGTGTGTTTGTACATTTACAGGACAAGAGAAATTTTCTTAGAAATCCACCAACTGGTATACAGTTCCAGTTTGACTTTGATTCAGTTTTCCCTGTTGCCATGGCTACGCTTCAAGAAGATCCCAATTTACAGAAAATGAGATTTGAGCTGGTTCCTAAACAGTAAGTAATCCATATTGATGAATTAAGTTTTTATAACCCCCGAAACGAAGTTTTGGGTGTATATAGGACTTGGTCGGTTGGTCGGTCCAGCCGTCCGTTGCATTTTCGTTGTCCGGAGCATAACTTGCAGACTAGTGGTTGGAATTCAATACAACTTCATACAATGGTCAAGCACATTAAGAGGAAGTGCAGTGCACAAGAACCATAACTATCTAAAGTAACTATAGAGTTATTCCCCTTTGCTACTTTTCCATTGCTTTCTTTTGTCTGGACCATAACTTGAAGACTAATTGTTGGAATTCACTATAACTTCATACAATGGTCAAGCACATTGAGTGGAAGTGCAGTGCTTAAGAACCATAACTCCATCTTCACTTATTACAGAGTTATTGCCCTTTGTTACTTCTCCTTGTCCGGTGCATAACTTGAAAAGTATTGGTTTGAATTCAAAACAACTTTATCAAACAGTCAAGCACAATAAGAGGAAGTGAAGTGCACAAGAACCATAACTATATCTAAAGTAATTACAGAGTTATTGCCCTTGGGTGGAATTCAAAACAACTTCATACAATGATCAAGCACATTGAGAGGACATTGTGCACATTGTGCAGTGCACAAGAACCATAACGTCATCTTCACTAATTACAGAGTTATTGCCCTTTGTTAATTTTCCTTGTCCGGAGCATAACTTGAAAACTACTAGTTGGAATTCAATACAACTTCATTAAGAGGAAGTGCAGTGCACAAAAACCATAACACCATTTTGACAAATTACAGAGTTATTGCCCTTTGATACTTTTCCTTGTCGGGAGCCTAACTGGAAAAGTACTGGTTGGAATTCAAAATAAGTTCATACAATTGTCAAGCACTATAAGAGGAAGTGCAGTGCACAAGAACCATAACTCTGTTCAGAGTAATTATAGAGTTATTGCCCTTTGTTCCTTTTCCATTGCTTTTTTCTTGTCCAGAGCATAACTGAAAACTAGTAGTTGGAATTCAATACAACTTCATACAATGGTCAAGGGCAATGAGAGGAAGTGCAGTGTACAATAACCATAACTCTATCTTCAGTATTTGTAGAGTTATTGCCCTTTGTTCCTTTTTCTTGTCAGATGCATAACTTAAAAACTAATGTTTAGAATTCAATGCAACTTCATACAATGGTCAAGCCCAATGAGAGGAAGTGCAGTGCTCAAGAAGCGTAACTCTTTCTGGACTTATTACAGAGTAATTCAATAAAACTTCATCAAAGGTCAACCTCATTGAAAGGAAATGCAGCATACAAGAACCACAACTATCTTTAATTGCCCACAACCATAACTCTATTTCAATTCTTTTGCAAGATATTCTGTTACTAGTTACTTCCTCATTTCCAAAGCAGTCTTGCAGGGGTATCAATCACATTTAGTGATAGTTCTAGTTTGGTTTCCAGCTTTCTTTTGGTGAAGGAAAACTGAGAAAGCTTCTTTGGTTTAAAATATACTTAGACAGGTATCTGGTACACAGCTTTGGGAGTTAAATATATATCATTGTGCAAACAATATTTTGAAGTATATTTGTACCTTGAATGGAATTTGTCAACTTTATAGAATATATAGATACACAAATGAATAGAATAACATAAGTTAGATCTTTAAAATAAGTTGCAAACTAAATTTGAATAGATTAACATGATAAGTTAGATTTTAAAAATAAGTTGCAGACTATTTTGTAACAGAGTTGTTAGCAAATCTACATCTTCTGACAACCATGAAAAGTTTTTTGTATCTCAATGGATAACCCCTTGTGTTTTGTTTCAGTTTGTTGCAACATTATTGGTTTCCATTTCAGAATCAAGGAAGAGATGTTTTGGAGGAATTATTTTTACAGAGTTTCTTTAATAAAACAGTCTACCCAACTCACAACTCTGGCTCAACATTCAGGTGTGTATACTTGCCTATGACATTCTCTGGTCAATAACTTGCTGCAATTGTAGGTGATTAGCTTATACCAGTATAGAGCCAGGCCAAAGCCACCTCCATGCAGTCTGACCAGGCTCCATGCTATTGGCTGAGTAATTTACACTTTCGTTTTGATATCCATGAAAAAAAATTATTAACCCTTGACCTGCTGATTAACCTTTGCCACCAGTATAGTGCCAGGCAAACCTGCAAAATCTGTGCCGTCTAACCAAGCTCTGTACTGTTTGTAGCACAAGTTTTGTATTTTGATTTTGAAATCTCATTAAATTAAACTTTGACTAGGCTGTTCCAAATTCACAGCGTGGCAAATGAATTAGACAAATTCAGCTGGTCGATGGTTAGTAATGAGCAAGTATAATTTATTTTGTTTATCTATTTACAGATGGTAAATCTCATGGATCTCGGGAATCCCTGTCTAGCAGTGGTAAGTATAAATAATGTAAGGTGATAGTTGTAGGTCTGGTCAGCATTGATGTTAAAGAATGAGTCTAATGGTCATTTGTTTCTCATTGCTGATTCAGATCTCATGTAGGAATAGTAGTTGGTACTTGTTGGGAAATTGGTTAGTTATCCAGGAAAGCGTGTAAGATGGACTGACTGCTGAGATATGGCCCAAAATGTGTTAAAATCTGCATTTAAGCCAAACAAACATTATTTTGTGATTAGACATGATACTTTGATAATGACTGCATCGGGTGATATTTTACTAAAGCAATGCTGTCAGTCATTTTACTAAAGTAATGCATCAATATTGATGATTATGCTCATTGCTTATATTACAGCTAAATTGGGCCAGTTTAAATATCTGTTGCTTAATTGCATTATATATTTTGTACCACACATGCATTGTACTTCTGTACAAATTCAATGTTGTGACATTTTTTTGTTTAAATTATTAGCATATAGTGCATTGTAAAATATTGTGGATTTTATCTTTCAATCTTATTTTATGACTTAATTGACCAAATAAATATAGCTTTATAGTAATACTTGTAAGTGGTTGAGTTAGTGACACAGAAATATTTTCGAATTTTGCGGAATGACAAAAATCTCTTAAATTTCTTCTAAAGTAAATATCAACCAACCTGTCATTTACTTCTACCCTTGCATGATTCGCTAATATTTCCTCAGCGAAATGTCTGGAATTTTAAATTCGCTAAATTTTTGTCACACAGAAATATTCACTCGACACTTATACAGTATTATTTTTATTTGAGACATTTAAAGCATTGGTTAATTAACATAATTTTAATTGCATTAATTTCAACTATAAAACATTTGAATTAATGTAGGTAAATCTTCCCCAAAACCTATCAAGAAACAAGACGAGGAAGTTAACGAAGCCAGCAGTCCACAGGAGAACGAGTTTGTTAGCGATACATTCCAGGATGATGGAAATATCAGTGACGAGGATTTGAAGAAAGAAATGCAAATGCTTGGTATGGAGGATGACCTTAAAAAAGATGAAGGTCAGTAAATGAAGGTCAAAGGTCACATGTTATGTAGTCTAAAAGACAAGGAATGTTGAATGTTGTTTGAACTTATTTTATGATCCATATAGAATAGTGTAATGATTTGTGTATCTGTATCAGTCAGTTTGCACTTGAGAAACCTCATACGAGGACAGAATGTTGATAAGCTGAAGGTCAAGGTCACAGTGACCCTGAAACGTTGTAACGTTTTCAGAGCTATTGTCTTTGGTTTCCAAATTACTCATGATTTCTCCTATGGTAAGAGTACCAAGGCAAGTTACACAAAATGATAAAAAACAACACTTGAATCATTCAGCTTGATACCATTCTTGATATCGCTCAACTTTCTCTTAACTTGTCTGTTAACTATGGTTGTTTTCTAAAAATTTCATGATCGGGTAGTTCCCCTTTTTGACAATTACACCTGTTTTTTATTCCATTTTTTGAATTCTTTGGTATGGGTTTAGAGATTAATATTATCATTTAAATTTAAGCTGCAAATTAATGTGTAGCTGATTTTTTATAAAGGTTTTGCACGCTTGAACTCTGTACAGCTATTTTAAAATTTAAGGGATTTCAATACAGGAAAAAATGAGCTACCAACTGGTGGCAGAGGTTAACCAATTTTGGCTATACAGAATGTGAAGGGTTAAGCATATTAAATTTACCACAAAGCTGAACACTATGGTGTGAATATTGTAACAGCAACACTGACTGATCGGATAAAGTAAAGCTATGATCTTGTGTCATGTTAACCATTTAGCCTGCATGGATGAACAGATTCTACCCATGTGACCAGTACAAACCAAGATCAGCTGGCACACCGATGCATTCAGTACATAGTTTGAAATATTCCCTAGAAATGATGAATAGTTTACTTCAGGTTAAAAGATGGACCACTCCATTTAAGATGTTTAAGTAAGTTTGATGTGGTTTAGAATTTTAGATACTTTATATTGGGTATTTTTGCAAATGTTTAAAAGATGACTTTTCACACAAAAGTATGATTAAGGATAAGCATGCTGTGATAAAGACATTTATTTTTTATTGTCCGTGACATATGTACATGTTAAAGTGTAATTGTGGCCCTGTAAGTTAGCCATGTGTTTATATATCATCTCTTTACTACAGTAATGGGTTAACAGGGCTCCAGATAAGATGTGTATACGCGTAAATTACGCATGGAAATAACACGTTTACGCATTCAAAACAAAATTTAAGCGTATGAAAAGGCACACAAAGTTCAGGTTATGCATTGAGCAACATTTCTTTCGCAAAGTAAATTTGGTGATTATCTGATTTTTAATTTCGTCTGAACGCTTTGCAAGCGTCTACCGGTAACTTCCTGTAGTTCCGACCATCATCGGTTGTTATCGTATGTATAGTATGGTGGTGGAATTAACTTCGTATGAACGCTTTGCAACGTGTAATGGTAAACTTCCTGAAGTTCCGACTATCATCGGTTGTTATCGTATGTATAGTAAGGTGGTGGAATTAACGCAATTTCATAAACATCAGGTACAATGTCACTGTCAAAAGACTCGTATTTTCAGCCGAAAAAAAGCGACCCAAAAGTAATTGTGAAGGTTATCATTAATGAAATAATTAGCGCTGCGACATATAAGCAACAGAAACATCCCTCAGGTTCAGATAAAACGTATGACGTTTGGAAATGCAAGATTATAAAACAAGGGAGTCCAAAAAGCAAAAGAAATGACTGACATATCTTGTATAACAAGTATGATAATGCAATAAGCATGGAAGCATAATAAATGTTTTACTCTTTTACATACATTTTAAGTTGTAAAAATACTCTTGCCAAATTTCAGATTTCATGTTTTACTCATTCACAAAAAAATCAATGAGTAAATACTCATTGCCCTAAAAAATTATCTGGAACCCTGGGTTAACTCCTTATATTATTTAATAGCAGTTAACTTGTTACTGCCCCAATGTGATGCATGTATTATAGTTGTGCAATATTTGTTTCTATAGTAAATTTAGTATTTAAGGTTCACATTGTCACCTGTGAAATATGTGTTACTGCTATATTATTAGCATGGTTAAACTATCTTGCATGGTTTTGAAATATTTACTTTAGCTGAACAACAATGTACATAGAAACAGCAGGGCTATGATCTTCTCTCAGGGCATGAATGTAACACTGGGCTATGGTTTTGCATGCAAGTCGTACCGCATCAACCCATAGCCTGTTGAATTTGTGTAATGATTTTCCCTTCTTTGAAAATGGAGCAGTCAGATTAAAGTTTAAATTTGTATTTAACAATTTGTTTGGTCATGAACTGTAACAAGAGCAAGTAAGGGTACAATTTGATTGAAATGATGGGACACTTAAAATGTGGGCAGTATTTGATAGCATGTTTGATCAAATGTCATATTTTACTTTTGATGAAAAAATTATGATTAAATTTGGATTAATGTACAATGTTCCATACATAAAATGCTAGAGGGAAAAACAAGTATTGCATGTAGCCTGATCTACCTTTTCCCAGTTGAAATTCCTTGTGCACCAAGAAATTTGCAATAGTCAATCCAAAATAAAAAGACAGATAAATCAATATTGACATATATCATAGATGCCACAATTAATCATTATCTTAGCATTTAAATCTATGACTGTTTATAGAAAATTGAATTATTCCCACTCGCACTTTGTTTTTATTTAACATTTTTTTTAATATTATCTCATTCTGTCTAGTGTGTGAAATGTTTTGTACTAATTTCAGCATCATGTCAGCAGAAAATGCTCTTTTTTATGCCACCGCAGCATCTGCGATGTGGTGGCATATAGCGATTCACCTGTGTGTGTGTGTTATATAGATTATATAGTGAACTTAAAAAATCTTAATGTGAAAAACCACTAGTCCAATTTCAACCAAACTTGGCAGGATTGTTCCTTGGGTGAAGGGCTTCCAAAGTTGTTCAAAGAATTTCAGTCCATGCAGAAATCTGGTTGCCATGGCAACCAAAAGGAATTATAAGAATAAATTTAAAAAATCTTCTTGTAAAGACCCAAAAGGCCTAGAGCTTAGATATTTTGCATAAGGCATTGTCTGATAGACCTCTAACAAGATTGTTCAAATTATAGCCCTGGGGTCAAAATTGGCCCCGCCCCGGGGGTCATTGATTTTCACTATGTAATATAGTAAAAACTTGAAATACCTTCTTGTAAAAACCCAAAAGGCTTAGAGCTTAGATATTTTGCATAAGGCATCATCTGGTAGACCCTTACCACGATTGTTCAAATTATAGCCCTTGGGTCAAAATCGGCCCCGCCCCGGGGTCATTGATTTTCGCTATATGTACATATAGTAAAAACTTCAGGGTTCCCACGCTGTCCGGGAAAACGGGAAATGTCCGTGAATTTGAAAACAGGAGCTCCCGGCCTTGAAAAGTCCGGGAATTAGTGTTGATACATAAAAAAGTCCGGGAAGGTACGGGAATTAGTCTGGTAAAGGGGAGGTAAATCAAACAACCAAAATGGCGGTCTTAGCACAGTATATTGACTTCTGCATCTTGAATGTTGATGATTTTTCGATTTACAAGTGTTTTGGGAGGCCAAGTTTGACATTTATGAGATTTAACATTTATTTTCTGGTTACTATGGCGGTTTTGTTTGGAAAATGTTATTAGACAGTCACAAATCGACCACAAGTTTGCTTGATTGGCCCGTGCTAAGAAACATGAAAGCTCACAGGTCTGGTTGTTTCCTTGGGCAATTTGTTTAACCTTATTGCTCACAACCATGCTAAAAGCCAAAGGTAAATCAATATAAAATAAACAATAGTATTACATACATGAACTATTGTCAAGGCAGAGCACAGCCAGTTGGCCACACCATATTTAGGTAGCAAGAAATACCAAAATATTAGCCACAATATACTAAAAATGAATGTGTTATACTAAAAAAAGTGCTGTTTTAATCATGAATACAATATACACTTTCACTAAGATGTAATCAAACATACCCAAAATTTCATTTTTGAACCAAAATATACCCAAATACAGTATACTCCATGAAAACTATTAAATAAAAAAAATAATACGAATGAACTTGTATGAAATTACAACAAAATTATACCCTTCAAATTTAAATGTAGACAACAAATCTCATATCTTGCAAGTACATTTGTCTATTCATTAATGAACCTAACAGTTAGAAAAGCAAATGTCACTTTTTTTCTTACAACATCTGAACTGCCAATTTCAATGGAATGAATGAAAGTAATAGTTGGCTAAGTCACATTATTTTGAAAATATCGATTCATTTTCTCATTAAAATCTATATTGTATACAAATCAAAATGAATATTGCTATAATTGTGTGTGTTTGGGTATTTTGTGCTGCTGCCATATTTTGTAGAACCCGTAGCACTGGCTTAAGCAGAGTACAACATTTAAACATGAAAGTTGTGAAATTTTTAATGTAGAAACACCTGCAGGCAGTTTTCATATACCCTTCAGTGTGACATGCTTTTGCCATTCTATGCACCTAAGTGGACTGAGGTCAAATGTGAGGTTACTTATTAAGTACTATGAATATCTTGTAAAAAAGTGATCCCTTGGAAGCATTAAAAACACCAAAATTACATGAAAATTGCAGACAACCTGCAACAGTTGCTGTCACAAAGTAAATTTCATTACTTATAGACACTGAATGTATTTCTTAGATAGAGTTAGATTTATGTCATGAACTACATGTATTATATTGTTATTAAATGTTGTTTTAAACATTACCATGAAAATATTCATAAGACAAAAAAATCGAATAGCTTGAAATTCAATCTTCTAAAAAGTCCTTAAAAAATCAAAAAAGGTCCTTGATAAGTCCTGGAAAAGTCCTTAAATTTTCAAAATATCTAAGAGTGGGAACCCTGAAACTTAAAACACCTTCTTGTAAAGACCCAAAAGGCCTAGAGCTTAGATATTTTGCATAAGGCATTGTCTGGTAGACCTTTACCCAGATTGTTCAAATTA